TGCTAAAAGTGGCGTAAAATCATTCAAACTCAGTTTGTCTGTCAGTTGTCCATATGCATTAAGCATAGACCCGAAGCTAAATTGTTTCCAATGCTGTATGAGACTGTATTTGAGCTCATTTCTGTCTACAAGAACAAAGATTTTTACAGAAGGGGTCCGTCTGCATTAATCTATTTTACTTTTACCTTGTTAATGATTTGACCTTCACATACACTTCTGCGTTGATGAAGCTAAAATTTTGTGTTTGTGATGCCTTTAGTGGTGTCTGAAAAATTGCCCTAGCAGAAACTGTCGCTAGTTGTCCTTACATCACTTGTAACAGAGTTAAAATGTGTGCAAACATCTGTTCCTTATTCTTGACTCCTGATGGGCGGTTAAAGTGTTCGCTTGTCATGCGAAGACCTGAGTTGGATTCTCCACATGGATACACCCAGCAGTGAATGGGTACCGAAAGGATGATATAGTTATGTGCCTGTCTTCCTTCTGGTGGCAGCTAAACCTTGCACTAAAGGACATTTACACTTATGGTGTGACTGCCTCAGAATATGCCTCTGTTCACCCAGCAGTGAATGGGTACCCAAAAGGATGATATAGTTATGTGACTGTCATCCTTCTGGTGGCAGTTAAACCTTGCACTAAAGGACATTTACACTTATGGTGTGACTGCCTCAGAATATAGATCACCTAGCAGTGAATAAAGGCATATGTTACACTTACCTGTGGTCCTTGACTGCCAGCTGGACCTTGCATACACCCTGTTCACAATAGCAGCAGTCAAGCAGGAAGGGTACCCAGCAGTGAATGGGTACCCAAAAGGATCACAACTCCTAGTGTACAGTACACAACCCTGTGCACTTAAAAGAACCCACAAATCTGTTGGTATATGACCAGATGGTGGCCACATGAATACGTGCAAACACCTAGTTGCGGGTACAGCAACGTGCAGTAAACTTTGACAAAGTACTGTGACTCTGTGTCCCAGTCCACCCAGCTGTGAATGGGTACCTAGTAAGGATGGGAAAGCGGCAACAACTCAGTGCACCTTGTGGCAGCAAGAGTTGTATGCTCCCAAGGGAGTTGAGATAATGCGATGTGCCGTTGAGATTGACATCCAATGATCGAGGGAAAAAATACCAATGCCATGAGCATGCACTAGTGCATGGATATGTGTGCTATATAAATATCCAATAGTAATAATAATGATATGGTCATATAACCATTATCCTTCTATCGGCAGCTATAGAGCTTGGGTTATACCTCCAAGGGATATGAGAAAGATCATGTTGATCCAATGGCTAGGGTTATTTATAATGGTGTTACGGTTTTGTCAGTATGTATAAATGGATAATCTATAGCTGTGACCAGAGCTGAACTGTCTGCCTTAATGGAAACTGCACATAAACCTGTGACAGATGCTGCACTTATGTCGGCTTCAAAAAAGGCAGCTTTACTTTCAGTTGGTCACAGCAGCTAGAATTTCTGAATTTAATGTAAGAGATATTTCATCAGTCGCACTCTGGTTCCGATGCCTAAAAGAGTTCATTGCCAAATATCAATCAGTTATTTAAACATTGGGTCAGGCTTGGACAGTACCTTGTTCCTTCTTTGTGTAAGGATGTGGATTATTTAGACAGAATCACAGGAAACATAGAAAACTGCTGATTTTCTCAGGCAAGTATTTATCAAACACCTGAGGATAGGGTTTAACTCGAGTGAGTTAGTGTTTCTGAGTGAGTGCACTGTAAAAAGGTCATCCTTGTAGTCTGAAGTGAGTTTAGTTTAACGTCATTTTTAGCAATATTTCAGCAATGTAACGGTGGGGGACACCAGAAAGGGGCTTCACACATTGTATCCCTGTGGGAATTGAACCCAGGTCTTCATCTTACCAAGCAGACACTTTAACCATGAGTCTACCCCACCACCCCAGTTTACTCCAAAACTAATCAGTTGGCAGTGAAGAGAACGTCTTTGTCAAAATAAAAAAGTGTTTTTCCCATGATGTTTACTTGCTGATAACATTCCTTAAATTCTGCTCAGCTTCAGGATCCTTTGACTGTATGTTTTCTTGTTCTGTTTTCAGAGATTTATCAAGTGGGACTCGCTGTGCCACCATCCATGATGAGTTTCAAGGACTCTCAGCTTCAACACAGGCCCAGAGGTGAGTTTGCTGCTATGGGGATTCCATGTTAGAAAATGCGCCATGCGTGATTCCTGCGTATTGGACGCAGAAATTTGATGAAGTACCCCCAAACTAAAATCCTGTATGTCCATGTGGATGTGATATAAGTTTTTTCTTGTAAAGAACTTTCTGAGTTTGTAATGATATCCCATATTAAAATATAAACATTCTGTTTACAATCATAATTCTAATGACATTGAAAGTAACACATATTATAACATAGTCATTATTAAATGGGAAGCGTCCATGATAATTGATTTCATGCAAATTGATGGACTGCCAATTTTGGAAATGGACACCCCTAAAATATACCCTGAGTCCCCAGGACTCCCAGTTTTGAAGAGCTATGTACAACCCTGGCCATGGTCATGACAAGAACACCATTATATTAGTGGTGGCATGTGGTCTTGTGCAAACAGCACAGGTCACAAATCAGTGAGCGTGCACAAATGCATGGAAGCGGGCGCTTTATAAATAGCCATAATCATTATTATTATTGGACGACCAAATGCATCGTATGGTCAGTCTCAGTGGTGTTGTAATCATTAGGGCTGGGTATTGCAGAGAATTTTCATATTGCAATATATTGCGATGCGAAAGCATATATTGCGATATGTATTGCAATATATTGCAAAAAGTTCTTTTTTAACAAAAAACTACTTATAATCGAGTTAATGCTTGATTTATAAAGCAAAAACACAACAAAATCACCATGCTTGATTAAGCTTTAATAAAAACTTTTAATCATGACAAAATAAAAATGTAAATAATATTTGGCACAAATAAAAAAAGGAAAGGAACAATTTATAAAACGGAAATATCTGAAGATTTCCGAGTGTTACGAAGTCTTTTCGAATGCATGTCAAAATACCGGTTTTTAATCAGCGTATCGCAATACGTATCGTTTTCATGTCTGAACCCGGTATATACCGTAAACCGGTTATATTGCACAGCCCTAGTAATCATAACCTAAATTAGAGGGTTGTAGCTCACAATGGATTGTCTTTCCCAGATAAAATTATTTATAGGTTTACTGTCTTATGACTGGCATATTGCTAAATATGGTGTTTTTAGCAACAAACAAACAGCTGAGGTTAACCTGCATTTGAAAACATAGACACTAATATGCCACGTGACATGTGTTGTGTTTCGGAATGGTTGTCGCAGAAACATGATATTCTTGTTGCTGTTTTTATGGTAAATGTTTATTATACCGTACAGGAAGTCAAACTAATTATGTTCATGTTGATACGTGGACCCAAAAATTGTTTAATTGATTGAAGGCTCAATAAATTCTTTAGTCCACAGACAGGTTACCAAACAAACTCAAGTTGATAGGGGGACAAACAAAACGTGCTCAAGAAAATTGTGCTCAAGCTGATCGGAGGCCATACAAATCGTGCTTAAGTACCCAAGTCTATTTCTCGATTTTCAGATGAATGCCTTTTGATTATGGAGAAAGATCAATTAATTTTGAAATAATAATTGTCAAAATAATAAAGTTTAAAAGAAATGTTTGAAATAAACCAAGTTGTCTATGATTATATTTGAACTAAAATTTATGCAGATGCAAAATGCAAGAAATTGCCATTGCCAAATATTAGTTTAGGATGTTTTGGCTTCTGTTCATTCTTTGCCTGTAATTTTGATGCTCTAAAGGATGTATTGCCAGAAAGGATGAGTTAGGATAAGAACCCTGCTCAATGCTGTTTAGATCCTGTGGGAGATACAGGGGCCTTTTCATCTTTGTGAAATTTCACGAGTCATCAAGATGTGATTATTTCCACAGACGTCGCCTCCATGGGCTAAACTCTATTGTGATAGAAGTGAAGAGCTACTGGCGCCTGTTAATAGAAGAGGTAGGTCTACACACTAGCAGTGGGAATTGATCATGCTGTTTATCATAATAGAGTGAGTGAGTGATTATGGTTTTACGCCTCTTTTGGCAATATAGCAGCAATATCACGGCGCGGGACACCAGAAATGGGCTCCACACATTGTACCCATGCGGGGAATCTAACCCGGGTCTTCGGCATGACGAACAAGTGAGTGACACCACCAACATCATTGTTTGCTGACATATCAGATATTTCATATAAAAAAAAAGACACTCGAACCTTAAGAGTGTGTGAGTAAGTGAGCAAGTGAGTGCGTTTAGTTTTAATGCTGCTTTTAGCAATATTTCAGCAATATAACGGTGGGGGACACCAGAAATGGGATTCACACATTGTATCCATGTGGTAATTGAACCCAGGTCTTCATCTTAACAAGTGGACGCTTTAACCATTAGGCAGCCCCACGACGTCTTTGTAAAAATAAAAAAGAGTATTTTTCTTGTAATGTTTACTTGCAGAGATTCAGCAGACGAACGAACACTTTAACCAATAGGCTACCCCACCGTCCCTTAGAGATAAGAGAGACTGGATAATCATGGAATACTTTGGTCCATTGTTACTCTTCTTGGTGCATGGCATTAACGGGATAACTGAAGGAATGGGCGGCTTAGAATCAGCATAGTGCACCTGAGTGGTTTATCCAGCTGCGGCATCGTTTCTCAGCGGGCTGGCACTATATGACATGCTTGGTCCAGACATTCATACACATTAGTGCATGTGAACTGAACCCTACGTTACAGGCTGCTGGGATATAACAAGATTATTGCACAGTGCGGTGTTAAGGAACAAACAAACACCCAATGAATACGAATCTTCAAGATTTATGTCGTTGAATCTTATTTGAACTGTTGGCTCCTCATGATTGGTCTTCTTCAGGTTCTCATGTAACGTTAAATATTAACTCACTCACTCACTCTTCAGGTTCTCAACCCCTTCTACATCTTCCAAGTGTGCAGCATCATCCTGTGGGGCTTTGATGAATACTACTACTACGCCAGCTGCATCTTTTTAATCTCACTCATCTCCATCTCCGTCTCTCTGTACGAGACAAAGCGGGTAGGTCAAGGTCAAGGTCAATCTTCCTCTGTGAGCTAAAAGTGAGTGAGTGAGTGAGTGAGTTTGGCTTTTATGCTGCTTTTAGCAATATTCCAGCAATATGATGGTGAGATACACCAGAAATGGGCTTCACACATTGTACCCGTGTGGGGAATTGAACCTGAGTCTTCAGTGTGACAAGTGAATGCTTTAACCACTAGACTACCCCACTGCACTGTGAGCTAAAAGGGTATGCAGGGCCCAAATCTTTCTTTCTGAGACAAAACCAGGTCATTGTGGTAGAGATGTAGGCCCCGGGAAAGCCACGTTTGAAAAATACCAATTGCCGCTAAAGCAACATTTCAAGTACAAACCTCGGTGTCGCGAATCGCAGCGAAAGCCAAAATGAGTAAGGGAATCAATACCGTTTTTTTAGATAAGCGTCCCAAAAGCATATGTCCTGAGATAAAATGATACATGTTAATGGGTCATTCTATGGAAAAGGGCAATTTCAGCTTTTGCTCTTAAGAATTATTTTTTTGTATTTTTGTATTTTTTATGTCTTCGTGTAAACTACTTTGGTTTGTATGATTGTCATATTGCATCAGCAGAGAAGTTTGGGCAAGAATTTTCCATCAAATTTATTGTGAAGTTTCAAGTTTTAATCAAAATGTCATTACTGCAATGGTGACAAAAATACTGGTTTTGGAAAATCTAGTCATAAAGTTTGCTTCAAAACAGCTATGAAATGGAAAGAGTTAGGCGTCACATATGTGGCTGTTTATAAGTATATTTGTGCAATAAATGGTCATTCTTCTGAAATATATTTTTAGTTTTAAGCATGAATGTAAACATAACAACTGAGGCCATAATAGCTCTTATCTCAAACAGTTATCAGGAAAGGACAAAATATTGAATTGGCCCTCACATAAGTTAAAATGCTTCAAAGAAATAATTGGTTGTATAATCATAAAAGTTGTTTGAGTACCTATGTGAGGCAGCTAGTTTCTGTGATCTGGACTTTCCTCCAAGAACAATTCAACTGGATTGTTTTTTAGATTTTACATAATGAATATTTCACATTATTTACGGTACACGGGTTAGCTAATAGCGCATTGCCGGAAGAGCCACATTGACATGATCACTCAACCATGACCATTGCTGGTTCAGCCACACCATTTTCAACTGTTTTTCTTAAATGGGGCTTTCCTGGCCTATAACCGCAGTAGATGTATTGAAATCGTTAGGATAAACAGTGAACTAAAAAATGTGTTACAAAAGTGAAATATGTTGTTTTTTGCTGTTGCTATATTGATTTAACCATTTAAAAGTTTAATTATGAAATTGAAAATTAAACTTTTAAAATATAATTGAGAATCTATTTGTTCATTGAACTGGTGAACAAACTGAATTGATGGAGTTGATGCTGATGCTGAGCATCATTCTGTTCCAGCAAAGTCGGACGCGCTTCGGGACATGGTTGGGTCTCTGGAATCAAACATCTCTGTGTGTCGCGGTGGACAAGGTGAGAAATACCCAGGCTTTGTGAAGCTGCAGTCTCCCAGGCCCAACTGAGGTTATACCTATGATTTGTTTCCTCATGCTTTCATGTTCTTTGTAATTAAAATGGCTACTCTGACATTAAAGACATAATTGACCTTGTAGCCTTCTGAATGTACGCCCTGATTTGTTTCACTTTTACATTTGTGTGTTGATAAAGTATCAATATCAGTTTCAGGGGCGGATCCAGAGGGTGGGTGCGTGGATGCGCACGGCCCTCTCCCCCAAAAAGTATGTTCCCATGATGAGCATTTCCCCCTGACCTTTTGACTTCATGATTATGTGCAACCCCCTTCTCCAAATTCCTGGATCCGTCCCAGAGTTTTCAGAACTTAGTGTTCTGTTAACTGAAACAATTTCACCTTTAAATGAATATGGAAATGATGAACTGTACAGTGAATACTCGCGAGTTAATACTCTCCAGCAAGTCATCTCCAGCAAATTGTCTCCAGTGAATAATCTTTTGTAAACAGTCAGCACTGAATAGCCTCCAGAAACGAGCCTCCGCTGGGCGCCATGGAGGACAATACACAAAGTATGTCTGGCAAATATGTCAGTTAAATCCTGATTTGTGCCCTTAATTATTTTGTCACAGAGTTCGAGGAAATCCCCAACCAGGACTTGGTCCCTGGGGATGTGATTGCCATCCCCCCGCACGGATGTGTGATGATGTGTGACGCCGTCCTTGTTGCTGGTACCTGTATTGTCAATGAGAGCATGCTCACGGGTGAGGCTTGGGATGTAGTTCACCCTCCCCCCAAAACTGTTTCTAGGAACTGTCGTATATCATCTACCTGTGAAGATCCGGGTTAGAATTGATCTTCAGTAACCCATGCTTGTCGTAAGAGGCGACTAATGGGATCAGGTGGTCAGCCACGTTGACTTGATTGACACGTCATTGTATCCCAAATGCGTAGATCGATGCTCATGCTGTTGATCACTGGATTGTCTAGTCCAGACTCGATTATTTACAGACCGCCGCCATATAGCTGGAATATTGCTGTGTGTGGCGTAAATCTAAACTCAATCACTCACTGACAAAATGTTCCACCTTCCAGCATGACTTGTAACTATTGCAAAAAACAGATATCCACAAACTCATTTTATGCCCATTCTTTGTGGTGGATCTTGATTTTAAGTGTGTCCATAAGGTCCTCAGCACCCCATTGGTGGTTGAAAGAAGTAAATAACTTTGATGGGGCTGGCATAGAGTGAGAAGTGATCAGGAAAAAGCTAACACACTATAATAATAAAGAGCAAATCCTTTCCACCTTTACTGTCTTGGATGGTTTTCCATTGACCCCTAAGTACAATGGAAGCCCTCTTAACCGGCATACTTTGGGACCGGCACAGAATGCCGGAATAGAGGGCGTGCCGGTTTGGAGGGCGTGCCGGTTTGGAGGGCGTGCCGGTTTAGAGGGTGGTTTATGATCATGAATTAGCTTCTACCGGGACCAAATTCTAGTACCGATATTGAGAGCATGCCAGATTGGAGGGCTGCTGGTTCTAGTGCCGATATTGAGAGCGTGATGGATCGGAGGGCTGCTGGTTTAGAGGGCTTCAACTTTACCCACTACTCCACTTCAGAGTGGCTAAAGTTTTAATTTATTCTGTTTTACGTTTCACAATCCGCATTTCAAAAACATGATAGTGCCTGCAAACAGAAAACAAATGAATATGTCCTAATCCACTCACTCACGGAAAACTAGTACCTGTGAAGATTTGGGTTAGAATTAGTCTTCAGCAACCTGTAAGAGGAGACTAACAGGAATAAGTGGCCAGGTTGACTTGGTTGACACATGTCACTGTGTCCCAACTGTGACGATTGATACTCATCCTGTTGATCACTGGATAGTCTGGTCCAGACTCGATTATTTACAGACTGCAGCCATATAGCTGGTATAAACAACAAACAAACAAACAACCTGGAAACTGGATTTAACAATGTATTCCTCTCTTGACCTGTGTGCAGGTGAGAGTGTGCCAGTGACAAAGACTCCGCTGTCCCACCAGGAAGACGAGGAGTTGTACTCACCAGACAATCACAAGAGACACACACTGTTTGCTGGAACTCATGTTGTCCAGACTAGATACTACGGTCAGGCCAAGGTGCTTGCTGTGGTCGTCAGAACAGGTGGGAATGGGATTTTGTAGTCATTATACACAGACTCAGGTTATGTTTGGAGGCATTGATAAGTCTGCAAATGAGATCAGCCGACATGAACCACTTTCAATTTCAAAATAATGATGTTGTACTTTTTTTAATCAGAATATCAACAGATGTTCCCCATGTGCTTAATAAGGGTTTCACAATGTGTCACAGAGTTTCTGTAGATTGAAGCTGTTAGTCTGTTGAATACAAACCTTGGCATTGGGGTAGCCTAGTGGTTAAAGCCTCTGCTCTTCATGCTGAAGACCTGGGTTTGATTCCCCACATGAGTACAATGTGTGAAGCTCATTCATGGTGTCCCTTGCCGTCTTATTGCTGGAATATTGCTGAAAGCGGCGTAAAACCAAACTCACTCACAAACCTAGGTCATCAGCATGATGAGCGAACACGCTAACCACAAGGCGACCCCCACCTATCTTCATTGACTTACATTATGTCCAAAACGTCCAATATTTTAAGACGGATAGCATTTAACAAAGAGATAATTGTACTCATTTTTTTTTTTTTAATATCATTTCGGCTCTACATGGTTGCCATTCCACTGGACTTGGAACATCTTGACATTTTATTTGCAGTTATAACAAAATGGATCCTTTTTCTTTTGACAGGCTTCAACACAGCCAAGGGTGAACTTGTTCGAGCAATTTTATATCCCAAACCTCTGGGCTTCAAGTTCTACCAAGATGCAATGAGATTTATCTTGTTCCTGGCAGTAGTTGCCTCCCTTGGAATGATATACTCTGTCATCATAGAAACACGAATGGGGGTGAGTTATTTTGGGATGATTCGTAGTGTGGATTTGTCAGTCATTTTTTTGTGTGGAATCTGGAGCCAATTCTTCTTGTTCCTGGCAGTAGTTGCCTCCCTTGGAATGCCGTACTCAGTCATCATAGAAACTTACATGAAGATCCGGGTTAGAATTTGCCTTCAGTAACCCATGCTTGTCGTAAGAGGCAACTATCAGGGTGGGGTGGTCAGGCTCAATGTCTTAGTCATATCCCAATTGCATGAATCGATGCCCATGTTAATGATCACTGGATTGTCTGGTCCAGACTCGATTATTTACAGATCGTTGCCATATAGCTTGAATACAAAATAAGCAGTATACAAGACTCATCCTATCTAGACAACACATTCTCCTCAGATTTTGCCACAGAAATAATGATCCTATTTACATAATCATAATACTTTTCAAATATGTACTGTTCAAATATAAATCAACCAAACGAATAGCAACTTTCCATTTTTGCAGCAGGAAGTAAACAAATGTTATCTTCTTACAAAATAGACAGCCATTTTAGCTGCAAAATTGATACTTTTCTTACCTTTTGGTCATTATGTCATAACCTATTTACTTTGTAATGGACCACCTCCGTGGTGTAGTGGTTAGAGCGTCCGCCCGGAGAGCGGAAGGTTGCGGGTTCGATCCCCGACTGTGTCATACCAAAAGACGTTAAAATATGGTACTTGTTGGTCCCTGCCTGGCGCTCGGCATTAATGGGTACAACAAGGACTGGTCGGCTCGGAGTCAGTATAATGTGTCTGAGTGGGGTATTCATGCTTCACTGCGGCATGGTATCTCAGTGGGCTAGCACTATAAAGCCAGCTTACTGGCCTAGTACAAGCAGCCGCACATAAACATGCATGAACGTCGTCATATGAGCTAAATATTCTCAAGCACGACGTTAAACCCAATTTCACCTCACCTCACTTTGTAATGCTGTCATCTGTTTGATGTATCTTTCTTGGTACCTTTGTTGAATTTCTGTTCACAACTATATGTAAATGCAACAAAAATAATACAAATTATATAAAAAAATATATAGCTGGAATATTGTTTAGTGTGGCGAAAAACTAAACTCACTCACTCACCTGTTTCCACAGTGTGTGAAGCCTGTACTGGGCGTCCTTTCCGTTGACAAGATTGTTTGTTATCAGAACTGTAAAACTTGTTCTCATTCCTGCTGCCTCTACTATAGGCGTATCCAGAGAAGATTGTACTCCGAGTCCTGGACATCATCACAATAGTTGTCCCCCCTGCTCTCCCCGCCGCCATGACAGTCGGCACAGTCTACGCCCAAAGTCGACTTAAGAAAGCTGGTATATTCTGTATCAGTCCGCCCCGGATCAACTTCTGTGGCAGGATCAACACCTTCTGCTTTGACAAGGTGAGAATTCATCAGTGGTTTTCTGACAATTTGAAAATTCCGTGGAGGTGTTCTGACAAGGTGAGAATCTTTCATATTCTGTTGGTATTACTTTCCAATCCAGCTTCTTGATGCTGCTTGAATATCTGTCTCATGCTTGATGTAGAATGTGCAGTTTGAATGTCACTGTTTGTATTTTCACAGACTGGAACCCTGACAGAAGATGGGCTGGACATGTGGGGGGTTGTGCCGGTGCAGAACCAGTGGTGAGTTGCCTCCCAGTGCCAGATGACTTTATGGCAAACATGTTCTCATTTGAGACCCTACAGAGGACTCCAGGGCAAATATGTTCTTAACTAAGACCCACTATTCAGACTTCAAGGCTGATATGACCTCAACTTAGACCCTCTATTCAGACTTCAAGGCTGATATGACCTCAACTAAGACCCTCTATTCAGACTTCAAGGCTGATATGGCCTCAACTAAGACCCTCTATTCAGACTTCAAGGCTGATATGGCCTCAACTAAGACCCTCTATTCAGACTTCAAGGCTGATATGACCTCAACTAAGACCCTCTATTCAGACTTCAAGGCTGATATGACCTGAACTAAGACCCTCTATTCAGACTTCAAGGCTGATATGACCTCAACTAAGACCCTCTATTCAGACTTCAAGGCTGATATGGCCTCAACTAAGACCCTCTATTCAGACTTCAGGGCTGATATGACCTCAACTAAGACCCTCTATTCAGACTTCAAGGCTGATATGGCCTCAACTAAGACCCTCTATTCAGACTTCAGGGCTGATATGACCTCAACTAAGACCCTCTATTCAGACTTCAAGGCTGATATGACCTCAACTAAGACCCTCTATTCAGACTTCAAGGCTGATATGACCTCAACTAAGACCCTCTATTCAGACTTCAAGGCTGATATGACCTCAACTAAGACCCTCTATTCAGACTTCAAGGCTGATATGACCTCAACTAAGACCCTCTATTCAGACTTCAAGGCTGATATGACCTCAACTAAGACCCTCTATTCAGACTTCAAGGCTGATATGACCTCAACTAAGACCCTCTATTCAGACTTCAAGGCTGATATGACCTCAACTAAGACCCTCTATTCAGACTTCAAGGCTGATATGACCTCAACTAAGACCCGCTATTCAGACTTTAAGGCTGATATGACCTCAACTAAGACCCTCTATTCAGACTTCAAGGCTGATATGACCTCAACTAAGACCCGCTATTCAGACTTTAAGGCTGATATGACCTCAACTAAGACCCTCTATTCAGACTTCAAGGCTGATATGACCTCAACTAAGACCCACTATTCAGACTTCAAGGCTGATATGACCTCAACTAAGACCCTCTATTCAGACTTCCAAGGCTGATATGACCTCAACTAAGACCCTCTATTCAGACTTCAAGGCTGATATGACTCCTCAACTAAGACCCACTATTCAGACTTCAAGGCTGATATGACCTCAACTAAGACCCTCTATTCAGACTTCAAGGCTAATATGACCTCAACTAAGACCCTCTATTCAGACTTCAGGGCTGATATGACCTCAACTAAGACCCTCTATTCAGACTTCAAGGCTGATATGACCTGAACTAAGACCCTCTATTCAGACTTCAGGGCTGATATGACCTCAACTAAGACCCTCTATTCAGACTTCAAGGCTGATATGGCCTCAACTAAGACCCTCTATTTAGACTTCAGGGCTGATATGACCTCAACTAAGACCCTCTATTCAGACTTCAAGGCTGATATGACCTCAACTAAGACCCTCTATTCAGACTTCAAGGCTGATATGACCTCAACTAAGACCCTCTATTCAGACTTCAAGGCTGATATGACCTCAACTAAGACCCGCTATTCAGACTTTAAGGCTGATATGACCTCAACTAAGACCCTCTATTTAGACTTCAAGGCTGATATGACCTCAACTAAGACCCTCTATTCAGACTTCAAGGCTGATATGACCTCAACTAAGACCCTCTATTCAGACTTCAAGGCTGATATGACCTCAACTAAGACCCTCTATTTAGACTTCAAGGCTGATATGACCTCAACTAAGACCCTCTATTCAGACTTCAAGGCTGATATGACCTCAACTAAGACCCTCTATTCAGACTTCAAGGCTGATATGACCTCAACTAAGACCCGCTATTCAGACTTTAAAGGCTGATATGACCTCAACTAAGACCCTCTATTCAGACTTCAAGGCTGATATGACCTCAACTAAGACCCGCTATTCAGACTTTAAGGCTGATATGACCTCAACTAAGACCCTCTATTCAGACTTCAAGGCTGATATGACCTCAACTAAGACCCACTATTCAGACTTCAAGGCTGATATGACCTCAACTAAGACCCTCTATTCAGACTTCAAGGCTGATATGGCCTCAACTAAGACCCTCTATTCAGACTTCAAGGCTGATATGACCTCAACTAAGACCCACTATTCAGACTTCAAGGCTGATATGGCCTCAACTAAGACCCTCTATTCAGACTTCAAGGCTAATATGACCTCAACTAAGACCCTCTACTCAGACGTTATGGCAGATGCGGGGTTTTTTCTTAACTAAAACCCTTTTCAGACTTCAGGACAGATAAGGTTTCAACAGCACATGGCTGTGAGTAGATAGGTTTCCATACATTTGACCGGGACAGTTAAGTATTAACAGGACAACTCAGCACAGAGTGTGTAAGATCTATGATTTGTTCCCTGATCACATCATTCTAAGAGATGTTGAAGACAAGACGGGACTTGTTGTTACCCAGCCTGGCAGTCAGCGTGGGGTTTTGCTCGTGAAGTCAACTTACGATATGCACTGATTTGATGCATTTTACATGCCGCTGTGTTGAATGCTCCAGTATTCAACAGATGAATGCATATTGTGTAGAAGTTGGCTAACTGCACTGAAAGCATGAACATCATTCTTTTGACTTACACCTGTGTCATTTTCGGCCAATAGCTGTGGTGTTGTTTCAGTTTTCAAGAGCCAGTTCGAAAGCTTCCAGAACTTCCACGTGGACAGATCCTTGTGTCCATGGCAACCTGTCACTCACTCACTCTGATTGATGGGGAGCTCATGGGGGACCCTCTGGATCTCATCATGTTTAATTCTCTCAACTGGGTAGGTGCAACAGGATACATGGGCAGTCTGCATAATTTTAGTGAAGTTGAATACAATAAGTGTGGATACAGGGTCAATTGAAACACAATCATGTGACCAAAATTATATGATGCTGTGAATATTAACACAGGTAATGAAACAAAGTGTGATCTATATTTTAATCTGTTCATATGCCTCTAAGATGTCGTAACACTGCGATCCAATTAGTTGTCCTGGTTATGTTTTTACCTGGTTATAGTGTGACCCAATTATGGTTTGACCTGGTTATAGTGGGACCCAGTTATGTTTTTACCTGGTTATAGTGTGACCCAATTATGGTTTGACCTGGGTATAGTGTGACCCAATTATGTTTTGGCCTGGGGATAGTGTGACCCAATTATGTTTTGACCTGGGTATAGTGTGACCCAGTTATGGTTTGATCTGGGTATAGTGTGACCTGATTATGGTTTGACCTGGCTATAGTGTGACCCAATAATGGTTTGACCTGGGTATAGTGTGACCCAATTATTGCTTGACTTGGTTATAGTGTGACCCAATTATGGTTTGACCTGGGTATAGTGTGACCGAGTTATGGTTTGATCTGGGTATAGTGTGACCCAATTATGGTTTGACCTGGGTATAGTGTGACCCAATTATTGCTTGACTTGGTTATAGTGTGACCCAATTATGGTTTGACCTGGGTATAGTGTGACGGAGTTATGGTTTGACCTGGGTAAAGTGTGACCCAGTTATGGTTTGACCTGGGTAAAGTGTGACCCAGTTATGATTTGACCTGGGTAAAGTGTGACCCAGTTATGTTTTGATCTGGTATAGTGTGACCCAATTACTGCTTGACTTGGTTATAGTGTGACCCGGGGGGCGGTGGGGTAGCCTAGTGGTTAAAGCGTTGGCTTGTCACGCCGAAGACCCGGGTTCGAATCCCCACATGGGTACAATGTGTGAAGCCCATTTCTGGTGTACCCCCGTCGTGATGTTGCTGGAATATTGCTAAAAGCGGCGTAAAACCAAACTCAGTCAGTCAGGATAGTGTGACCCAATTATCTCTTGTGCTGGTTATAGTGTGACCCAATTATGGTTTGACCTGGGTTTAGTGTGACCCAATTATGATTTTGTTCTGATATCAGACCCTGGAAGAGCCTGGACAGGACACCACAAAGTATGACACACTGATGCCGACCATTGTCAAGCCCTCCGACAAGGACAGCTTCATGTCAGATGAGGTCAGTGATCATTTCAGCAGCTTTAGCAGCTACCCTTAACACAAACATGTCTCTGACTATTGTGTAGTTTGTATCTTGTTGCAGAGAAAGATTTTGGGTATCTTAAATGACATCATGTATGAAGTTTTGAACATGTTGACATCAAACATCTAATGGAAAACAACTGGGGATTTTTAAAAGGCTTTAAACAGTCCTAAAATGTATTTCCCCTGATGAACAGAAATGATGCTACCGACAGCAGTGTGCAAAATATACGCTGGTCCTGTTGCCCCTGGCTAGTAAAAATTCATCAGGACCTCTAAATGATAAGTTTCCTGGTGGCCAATGAATTTTTTAAGTAAATCTATGAATGTTATTTTGGACCAGTGAAGTACAGACAGGACCACTAATTATTGTCCACTCACTGGACCTGTTGTCTAATGGGAAATTTTGAAAGGTTTCTTTTCCTACCGACAAGAAGAAAGCTATTTTCTACGAAAAATGTCATATCTTCGTTTTTATAAATACAAGAACTATGTATATATAGTAATAAAATACTCACAGCTCACTGACTGTAGTTGTTTCAGATAAAAATCTACAAACCATTTGTTGCCAATATTTACAGTGTACAAGTTGTTGCACACAATGTATTTATTCCAGGTGCCATTCGAGGTGGGAATTGTGCGCCAGTTCACCTTCTCGTCAAGCATGCAGCGTATGAGCGTGATAACACGAACCCTAGGTCACAACCACATGGAGATCTACGCCAAGGGGGCGCCGGAGAAGATTGCTTCACTCTGTAACCCTGACACTGGTAATACTGGACACTGTCCATTCCCACAATTATAAGGGTCAATCTCCACCAAGCCTCTTCCTGTGAAGATCTGGGTTAGAATGGGTCTTTGGGAAACCTTGGGTGTTGTAAGGGGTGACTAATGGGATCAGGTGGTCAGGCTTGCAAACTTGGTTCACACATGTCATCGTATCCCAGTTGCATGGATCGATTCTCATGCTGTTGATCACTGGATTGTCTGGTCCAGACTCGATTATTTATCGACAACCACCATATAGCTGGAATATTCTCTCACTCTTCCAGTTTGTATCAGTGGTGTTTTTTTTGTTTTTTTATTTTGTATACAGTCAAATCCCAATGAGTCGAATCGCTGGGGACCAAGTAATAAATTCGACTTATCGATGTATTCGAGACATAGGTATGTCTTTGAGGTAGAAAAAAAGATGATCCAGTCCTAATTCCTCCACCTAAGCATTTGTTTACCTAAAGATTTCCCTATCACTAATAGGGGCACCTTATCAGTTCCAGTCTGATTAGCACAGACAGTGATTTTCGTAAAATCACTAATCTGCCTTTTGAACTCACCTGTCAATGGCGGAAAGGTGTGAGCCGCGTTTTTTTGTTAGTTGGATCAGTTTGCTACACCAATCAACTTCTCATTGACTGACTTCGGCTTATGTATACAATATTGCTGTTGTTTGAATGTCATGGGACCAAATTTCCTTCTCGAGTCATCGTGTGTATTTATGAGACGAATTCGTGTAACCGGAAATCAAATGATGACAACTATAACAGGGAATGGTCGGGACCGACAGGTACTTCGAGTTATGCATAATATTCGAGACACTGGCATTCGACTCATCGGGATTTGACTGTATTTGATTTTCAAGCTAACAGACAATGATTTACCTAGATATTTGATTAACTGAATTAAGTGAAATAACAACAAAATGAATGAGTAATCAATGCGTTATTTTGAAACACATATTTTTGTTATGCAGTTGTGATGTAACTCGATTAGTGTTAAGAATCAGAAGATGAACATTCACAGTGTTTTGGTTTTTATATGCTTAACTGTGAATCTGACTCTTGTATGTACTTGTGATGCCTTGTGTGTTGTCAGTGCCGGAGAACTTCCAGGCTCTCCTCCACTCCTACACTGTGCAGGGCTTGCGGGTCATCGCCCTAGCATACCGACCTCTTGAAGCCAAGGTCAACTGGCACCAGGTCCAGCGTATCTCACGGTCAGTATATATATAGGTGCATACCTCTACTGTTGATGGTTCACGCCCATGCACTCACTCACAAACCACCCTGAAGATCCGGGTAGAATAGGTCTTCAAGCAACCCATGTGCTTGCCTAAAAGGCGACTATCTTGTCGTAAGATAATTAACGGGATCGGGTGGTCAGAAGCTGACTTGGTTCATGGGTTATTGCGGATCGATGCTCATGCTGTTGATCACTGGATTGTCTGGTCCAACTCCATTATTTGTATAGCTATAGAGCGGGTAAAACTAAACTCACTCACTCACTCACTCACTCACAAACCAACTCAATCACTAAACATTTCCTCTCTTGGATCTTCGTGAAGATCTGGGTTAGATTGATCTTTGTAACCCCTGCTTGTTTAAGAGGCAACTAACATGTCATCGTATCCCAATTGCGTAGATCGATGCTCATGCTGTTGATCACTGGATTGTTTGGTCCAGACTCCATTATTTACAGACCCCTGCCATATACCTGGAGTATTGCTGAGTGCGGCGTAAAACTAAACTCACTAATCGACGTACTCCATCTACCTGTGCAGCTCAGGCTTGGAATTTGTCTTCAGCAACCCATGCTTGTCATCAGAGGCTACCAGCAGGATCGAATGATGATACTTGCAGACTTGATAGACACATGTCATCATGTCCCAATTGTTTAGTTCGATGCTCATGATGTCCATCACTGGAGTGTTCGGTCCAGTAATGATTTTTACAGACAAACGTTGAACACTGCAACATTAAACAGCAAACAAACAAAAAGAATTCAGTCACCCAACCATCCACTCAACTATTTTCTTAACACCTTGCCCATGCACAACACACAGGCCTACCAATAGACACCTTGCCCATGCACAACACACAGGCCTACCAATAGACACCTTGCCCATGCACAACACACAGGCCTACCAATAGACACCTTGCCCATGACAACACACAGGCCTACCAATAGACACCTTGCCCATGCACAACACACAGGCCTACCAATAGACACCTTGCCCATACACAACACACAGGCCTACCAATAGACACCTTGCCCATGCACAACACACAATAGGCCTACCAGGCCTAGACACCTTGCCCATGACAACACACAGGCCTACCAATAGACACCTTGTCCATGCACAACACACAGGCCTACCAATAGACACCTTGCCCATGACAACACACAGGCCTACCAATAGACACCTTGCCCATGCACAACACAGAGGCCTACCAATAGACACCTTGCCCATGTACAAACATGACAACACACGGGCCTACCAATAGACACCTTGCCCATGCACAACACACAGGCCTACCAATAGACACCTTGCCCATGACAACACACAGGCCTACCAATAGACACCTTGCCCATGACAACACACGGGCCTACCAATAGACACCTTGCCCATGCACAAACATGACAACACACGGGCCTACCAATAGACACCTTGCCCATGCACAAACATGACAACACACAGGCCTAACAATAGACAGGAAAGACAGCCTAAAACATTTACGAACTCAGGAACCCATCTGCCCATTTGCTTCCTCGTCAACCAAGTATATGTGAAAATCAATAATGAAGTTGATCCCAGGGAAATAAATCCTGAATCCTTATCAAAGTGTACCATATACGCTATCAAAATTGAAAACGCCACAATAAGGCATTAAATATTGCCTGACTCCTGAGTCTCCATTAGGTATGTCTGTTGTGGATGTTACAGAGACAAGGTGGAGTGCGACCTGACATTTCTGGGGCTGCTGGTGATGCAGAACCAGCTGAAGCCAGAGACCACCCCGGTCATCAGGACTCTCCTGGAGGCCAAGATCAGGACAGTCATGGTCACAGGTAGGTGTAGCTGGACCGCCCCGGTCATCAGGACTTCCCTTTAGGTCAAGATCAGGACAGTCATGGTCACAGGTAGGTGTAGCTAGACCAACCCGTCATCAGGACTCTCCTGGAGGCCAAGATCAGGACAGTCATGGTCACAGGTAGGTGTAGCTAGACCAACCCGCCATCAGGACTTCTCTGGAGGCCAAGATCAGGACATTCATGGTCACAGGTAGGTGTAGCTGGACCAACCCCGTCATCAGGACTCTCCTGGAGGCCAAGATCAGGACAGTCATGGTCACAGGTAGGTGTAGCTAGACCACCCCAGTCATCAGGACTTCTCTGGAGGCCAAGATCAGGACATTCATGGTCACAGGTAGGTGTAGCTGGACCACCCGGTCATCAGGACTCTCCTGGAGGCCAAGATCAGGAAAGTCATGGTCACAGGTAGGTGTAGCTGGACCACCCCCGGTCATCAGGACTCTCCTGGAGGCCAAGATCAGGACAGTCATGGTCACAGGTAGGTGTAGCTGGACCGCCCCGGTCATCAGGACTTCCCTTTAGGTCAAGATCTGGACAGTTATGGTCACAAGTATGCAGTGGAGAGGGGGACCTGTGAAGATCCGGGTTAGAACTGGTCTTCAGCAACCCATGATTATCATAAGAGACCACATCGTCGGGCAGTCAAGCTTGCTGACTTGATGTTTGACATCGTATCTCTCCAACATCATGTCAGTCACAGGATTGCTTGGTTCAGACTTGATTGATTACAGACCACCATCACATATTGCTGTGTTAAACAACAAACAAGCAAACAAAAGTTCAGGGAGGACCCACAACAATCAGATAACACATTCAGTATTTGCAAAGTCTGATCTTTTACTCCCAGATGATACCTTACTGTGATGATCGGACAAAACCTGCAACTTCATTCATTGATTCATTCATTCCTGCCGTGATACTGCTGGAATATTGCTAAAAGCGGCCTAAAACCATTCTTATTCATTCAGGCATTCAGGCATTCAGTCATTCATGCATTATGAATAAACCCTGAGTAAGCTTTGAACTCCCATTCTAAATGAAAATTACTGTGTCTGCAGCCAGTCAAATGCCAGCTTCTTAGACCAGTGCAGTTCATTTATTTTGGTGTTTAGCATTTAGTTCATATGAACATTGCTTCAATAATATGCTGTGATAACTATTGTAATATCCCATGAAGATGGAAATGGTCTTCAACAACCCATGCTTGTTGTTTGGCACTTATGGGACTCTGATTTGATAGTCGTCCACAATATCAGTCTTTGTGTTGTCTGATTGAGTCCAGCATATATGAGGTTTGTTTGCTCGTCATGCCGAACACCCGGGTTCAATTCTCCACATGGGTACAATGTGTGAAGTCCATTTCTTGTGTCCCCCGCCATGATGTTGCTGGAATATTGCTAAAGGTAACATAAAACTAAACACTCACTCACTCACTCAGAAGACGAACCTGTGCACATTGCTCTCTGTGGAGTTAATAACTTCCACATATTTCAAAATACAATCATGTTTGTTCCAGGTGATATGATTCAGACTGCAGTGAGTGTTGCCCGGAACTGTGGGATGATTCAACCACGTGATAAGGTTGTGATTGTGAACGCCCATCCCCCCGACAAGCAGCAGACAGCACGAATTGAGTGGGAATATGCTGAACTGCCCACAGATGTAGATATAATATCTGAGCAGGAGACAGACGGCGAGTCCGATACTGGACAAGATTCGGTAAGTTACTTAGTATCAGGAAGTCTTTTTGAATAGTTACGATTGATAATCATCGCAAGCAGTTAAGGGCACAGGCAGACCAGTTGTCTGACGGGACCCAGTTGTGCAGAGTTTCCTCAAACATTTGTGTGCTTGTATATCTGGGTTTGGACATCACCATGCCTGATCTCATAGGTGATGAATTGACCAGACATTTTCTCTTCAGGTATTTCTCCCCCATCAAACCCTAACCCTGAAAGCAAATACTGTTCATTGCATCATAAGCTACTCATTGATTCAGAAACTTCCAGCTAATGTTTGAGTCAGGTGTGGTGAGGGTTTAATGTCCTGGGCCCACTTGCACAAAGCGATCTCAGCGCTACGACTATCTAAGCCTATGTTGGAGAATGGGAGTTACAATCATTGTGGCAGTAAGATCGCTTTGTGCAAGTGAGCCCTGAAGTAAGAAGAGGTAGCATAATGGTTAAAGCATCCGCTTGTCACGTTGAAGACCTGGATTCGATTCTCCACATGGGTACAATGTATGAAGCCCGTTTCTGGTGTTCCCTGCCATAATATTGCTGGAATATTGCTAAAAGCGGCGTAAAACTCAACTCAACTCAACTCAACTGAATTCAGAGGTGTTGGGATGTTACTACCACAAGGTTTAGGGCAGTGTGGGATATGTTTTGCCAACTAACACGGAGTTCATGTTGTGTTCTCATTGACTGTCTATTGATGGTCTTCATGTACGGCCATCTTTCTGTGTTGTAGAGTTAATATATTCTCCTCACAATTCCTGATACTGACGATCTGTTTCTGCATTTCTTAGAAACTGCCCCTGATTATCTTTGTGGAGAAACCTGGCATTATAAGTGTCCAGTAAATTGTGGTTATCTCCTTGTGGGGATGCCAAGGGCAGAATAAATCCCCGGAAGAAAAGGTCCAGAATAACTTGTGTTTGTCTCCTTGTGGGTTTTCTTATGGCAGAAGAGGTCCCCAGGTAAATTGTGCTCATCTCATTCTGGGGATTCTTGGGCAGAATAGAGTGTTTCTCACCTTGTGGGGATCTCAGGACAGAATAGCTCCCCTTTAAAGTGTTTCTCACCTTATGGGGATGCTCAGGCAGAATAGGCCTCCTTTAAAGTGTTTCTCACCTTGTGGGGATGCTCAGGCAGAATAGGCCCCCTTTAAAGTGTTTCTCACCTTGTGGGGATGCTCAGGCAGAATAGGCCCCCTTTAAAGTGTTTCTCACCTTGTGGAGATGCTCAGGCAGAACAGGCCCCCTTTCACCTTGTGGAGATGCTCAAGCAGAATAGGCCCCCTTTAAAGTGTTTCTCACCTTGTGGGATGCTCAGGCAGAATAGGCCCCCTTTAAAGTGTTTCTCACCTTGTGGAGATGCTCAGGCAGAATAGGCCCCCTTTAAAGTGTTTCTCACCTTGTGGAGATGCTCAGGCAGAATATGCCCCCTTTGAAGTGTTTCTCACCTTGTGGGGATCCTCAAGCAGAATAGATCCCCTTTGAAGTGTTTCTCACCTTGTGGGGATGCTCAGGACAGAATAGGTCCCCTTTCAAGTGTTTCCCACCTTGTGGGAATGCTCAGAACAGAATAGGCCCCCAGTAACTTGTGCTTGTCTCCTTATGGGGATAAGGATAACAGCAATGTTTCAGGGCTACTGTTTTTCATCACTTCATGCCAAAGATACTGCTTGTGGGGATTCTTAGGCCAGAGTAGGTCCCCATTAACTTGTGCTTGTCTCCCCATGGGGATTCTTCCTTCATCAGTTCAGCCATAGTTTCAAGGGAAAAGACATTGCCCAGAAACATTGTGTGTGTATATAGTAAAGATGTTGTAATCCTTAAAACCACTTGACCAGAAATTCTGATGTTTGCAGCGGCATATACCTGATTCACTCACTCACATAATTCATTTTGTTGAAGAGAGCACCATTGCTCCCTCCAGAGTCAGTTGTGGTTGTAAGTTGTTCCGTTATCATTCTGTGTGATGCAATTTCTTTATTTGTCTTCCATTTGATTTCTTTGAATGACGGGCTGGATGATGCAGTTTGGCCATATTGACCTCAGCAATGATGGCAATAAATCTGATAATTTTAACTGCAGTAAAGGGTTGAAACAATACACTGATACATATACATATATACTCAACAAAAAGGTTAAGGACCACCCCAATATTCAATATTTAAGTATTATAGGGATCATAATATATAAACTATTAAATTCTTTAATGTTGAAATTGGGGTGGTCCTTAACTTTGTTTGTTGAGTATGCAACCATGTTAAAGTTAAGGAAAAAGAAGTCCTGTTTTCTTATACAGAATTTGATTCCAAAGGGCATGAGATTTTAATGAAAAAAGGGGATCAACTTTGATATATAATTTGATGAACAGAGACTGCTAAAGATCTAAGATGGTAAGGAGCAAGTTGATCAGATTAACTGACTGACATGGCTGAAAGTACCACGTCGTTTTTTGTGATGAAAATTGTGGGCTGTGCACCAATAACTTTGAAATACGTCGTTTGTCATCACATAATGTTTGGGTACCATTTCTTGAGAAACCTTTTTAGAAAGAATGTTTTTTAAATTGGCAATGATATAGAGGTAATTATGCTTGTGTACTGATGGATAAATATCATACAGTATGATATCAACCATCTCCAAACACACTCGGGTGTTACCAACTCTGTATGAATTAATTCTACTATAACTTAGTAAGTCAATGGTGTCTTAACTTGAGGTACTGTGATACTTCAGTTTGTCAGTGTGTCTGATAATCGTCCAGTCCCTAGTGATAAGGTCATTAGGGGCGGTGGGGTAGCCTAATGGTTAAAGTGTTGGCTCGTCACGCCGAAGACCTGGGTTCGAATCCCCACATGGGTACAATGTGTGAAGCCCTTTTCTGGTGTCCCCGCCATGATGTTGCTGGAATATTGCTAAAACCAAACTCAGTCAGTCAGTCAGTCAGTGATAAGGTCATTATTACAAAATCTTGTTTGTTGTACATCTATCAAATGTTTCAACCATTTCTGCAGGACATTTCAAGTTGATTATTTTGCTTCGAAGCTGTTTCACCAAATGAATTTTTTTCCAAAAGTAACGTAAGGAAAAATGATTTTGTTCCCATTTTTAACAGACTACATACATGAGGCAGATCAAGTGTATGATTTGTTAATCATCATGACATTGAAACAAGTATAAATTTCAGCTAATTAAATCAGTGAGCATTCATTTGTTGAGTACAATATGCTATCCATATTGCCATCTTTTTCAACATGCATGAATGACTTCATGGTCAATGATTGGTCCAACTACACATTGTAAAGCATGCATTTTCACATGCATGACAATTGTGAATGTTCCTCAAACTTTAAGATGAATCTTAAGCACATCTTTTTCTCCTGTACGGATCTGAGCACCAAACTAATTATATGGGTCATTTTAGCCCACAGGACTGTGAACCAAGTAGTTATTGGAGTTATTCGTTATAAATCAGCATGACAATTCGGCTGTAACAATTTAGTCATCATTGTTAATGATTCTAAGAAAATTACCTCCAGTACATTGGAAATGCTTCCTCCAACCTCACCAGTCATCTGTTTCTGTGTGTGAGGTTAGAAAGAAGCTATCGTGGGTACAACTAATTATGTATCAGAAGTTAAAAAAATAATGTCACAGTATCCACAAATGCTGTATTTTTGACGATGATATATTAGAGGTATTTTTCTAAGAATTTTAAACAAAAATGACCATTGTTCAATGTTTATTGATCTGCTTCAGAACATTGAAAGTGTCTGGCATCCATATGTAAATATGGTAAATGATGGAAGGATCGTAGCAGCCCAACTGACTAGACATGATCTTCACTTATATTTTCTTGCATGATCGAGAATCTGCTTGATTTCTGGTTGATATGTATGTGATTGAAATTGACTTTCGCGTGTTTCTTGAAAAGACCAATCCTTGTCCGCAACACGATTGTAGTGTTGCGATGATTGTAACTCCTGCATTCTTAGCATCGATTTACAATGGTCTAAGCGCTAATCTTGCTTTGTGGACAGGAAGTGAGACTCTTAGTCTTAAAATGGCCTTGAATTTGGTCACCTTATCTTAAAAGAGTCTTAAAATGTAGCAGCTTGGTCTTGAATAAGATCTTTTATTTTGTATTCATGTGTATGTTTCCAGACTTGAACAGAAAATAGGTCTTTTAATGCACTGAGTTTGAAGTCTGTATTTTAGTCATATTGCATATTGTATATATTTCTTGGAGACTGTCAGATTGAAATGGGATGTAAGTACTCACATCCACAGTACAGTGGGTAATAGTAATGAGTAAGTATCTTACTTTAATGATATTGCTCTGGGAGATATCTACATGTAATTTTGTTTGTGCTTAACCTTTTTTTGCAGATATATATTTCTTCAGCAGCAAACTTGATAACAGTGACTGTTATTGAGTTACTTTAAAAGCTTTGAATATATTGACTGTTTAGAATCTTTTTTTTATTGCAACATTCATTTAAAAACTAATTTTATTTTTGAAACTCTTGAATTTCTGAATTTTCTCTTTGTGTATGTTTTTTCTGGAGTATTACTAGGTTCGTCATTAAACAACAAACAAACAAATGAAACTTCAATATTGATTACAACAGTCCAAGCACAAGGTTCTTTCTGTGGTGACAGGGAGCAGGGCCCAGTTCCACAAAGCTATCAGACCGCTAAGACTGTCGTACCTCCTATACTGTAACATAGACTTACGACAGTGGAAGCGCTACGATGGCCTAGTGAAATGGGGCCCTGGATCCTATGATCATGGGTTCAGATCCTGGCTTGCCCCCGTTTGTGTTCCAGGTTTTAGGTTTGTCAGCATTCATTGGTTTCACCAATGGTGTAAATGTCTGTATCCTCCATCATTTGGGGCGTTCCTTCCACACCGTGACACCACTGAATTCAGTTTAACTAATGACATTTATTGCAGAATGTATTATGACTATTTGTTTAAGATTTAATAGTAACAAGTAACCAATGTAACACATTCCTGTTTCTCTTAACAATAAATTACTCTTGAAGAGGAACACTTTTTGGCATCAGGTAGATATATTCAGCATGTTTGGTGTATATTTCTACACTATGATACTGTCTCAAGTCGGAGGACTCAACGACCACCAAAAAATTCAATACACTGAGTTCTCCTTTGGTCTTCTTGTATGGCATGGTCAGCAGACGCTTGTTCGTATACTCGGAAAAATCACCCACTGTGCCAAATTTTAGTCTTTTGTAGGAGAGTTAATCATTGTTTGCATGGGAGTAGTATAGTATTTGGGGTTTGTTTAGTGGTAGTAATATTGATGAACTTAGAGCAATATATTTTTCTCATTATTTCTCTTACCACTTATTTTTTTCATTTGTATATTTTTCATTTAGTGAAACAGACTTGGATAATTTATGGTAAATCATTAAATAAGAATGCTTCTTCCCAATCCCATCTGTGTCAAGTAGATTGTCAGTACCGTACTTGATGTATATGATTGGTGGATGCGCTTAAAATATTTACTGATTCGTTTAATCAAGATTACGATTTCAAACATCAAACATACACAGTGATTTAGGGCCTATTCGTTTATGCTAAACCGGTTTTGGTTTATGGAAAACCATGCCCTCGATTATGTCGAAACCTAAAACTGGGTTCTGAAACTTCGAAACCATCCCCGAGGCAGGTTTCTCAGTTTCGGTTTCGCGTTCTTTCACAACAAACATGGCAGAAACGAAGTTCAGCTGATCTTGGTAGCAAAATAGAGCAGCAGTTTCTGTAACCAAAATAATGATAAAAATCAACTGAGAACAAGGAAAATATTGTTTAAAACCCCAGTCTATTGAACATGACTATTGTATGTAACGTGTGTGCATATAATTACTTGTAACGGTATAATTACATATACGCAAACATATACCTCCAAAAGCATCTCATGTCTTTATTGTTTGTTAATTCCCTGATAAAATAACAAAAAAAACACTTCGGCAAGATTGTCATTCAACTCGTTCCACATATATAGTAGCTGAGGCTTTCATTTTGTATCCATTTTGAAACCGGATGGTGAAACCATCCACTCGTTTATAAAACTAGAAACTAGTTTCACTTTGAAACCATGTCTCCAAAACTAGACACTCGTTTATAACAGGAGAAACTAGTTTCAGAAACCAAAACCAGTTTCGACGCAGTAGTCGAACAGGCCCTAGATTGCCAGAAGACAATGGTGGAAATGTCATGAAACTGGCTGTGCTGAGTTACTTCCCTTAGGTGTGCCAGGAGCAAAAGACAGGGATGGTATTTGCCCTGATAATGTTTTGGGTTTGTTAGCACCATACCCATGGGTTTCAGTGTAGTGTTGAATGTGTTGAATCACTTCAAGCCTTCCTCCCAAATGAGGAGGACCTGGCTGTACAGGAAACTGAAATACTCTTCAAACATTGGGTGGTAGGGTGGCCTAGTGGTTAAAGCGTTCACTCATCACCCCGAAGACCCGGGTTCGATTCCCCTAATGGGTTCAATGTGTGAAGCCATTTCTGGGGTCCCCTACCATGATATTGCTCGAATATTGCTAAAAGTGGCATAAAAACTCACTCACTCACTTCAAAGAGACATAAAATCCGGGAGCCATGTGTCACTGACTCACAAGTTCAGAGCACAATATTTCTGAAACCTTGCAGTTCATGTTCTTAGAGGCACAGTACTTGCACCCTATGAAGTTCCCAGCAGTCAGTACATGGCTTCCTTTTGAATCAGAGAAGTGACCTCACAGCTTTTCCGATTAGTGAATTTTATGATTTGGTGTATTGGATGTTTTGTCTTGTGAGTTTGCTTATTGTGTAGGTTGGTGATTGGATGGTGTTTGTTGAGGTTTGACTTCTTTCAGAATGCTTCTTCTCCCCTTCTCTCACGTGGCAGTGAGTCAAGAATGTCAGCAATGAAGGTGTGTATCGGGGAACATGCACAGACCTTTGAGGAGACTACCAAGTGCTTGTAGACAGGCTTTCCAGTTTCAGCCAACTGTAGTTCTGGAAAAAATATTCCAATTCTTTTTGAATCACATTCTAAAATTGTTTCTATTTTTTCAATTTCCATCTGTTGTGAAAGTTATTGAATTATATTGAATAAAACCGTCATTGTTAAATCACAGATTTAAGTTGTTGCAGAAGAAAATTTGAAAGTGTTCTTGAATTATAAAGCCCTGAACTCTACTGGTTGGCTGACCTGGATACATAACTAACCCTTTGCAAGTAGATATGGCAGTGTGTTGTATATACGCTGTTGATGTTGTTGTTCGTGGTGTTGTTTCATGGTGTTGTTTGTTGTGCTCTTCTTTCTAATTACACTCTTGCCTCTTGCATGTGTTTTGATTTGAGAGTTTAAGCCCACAGCCCTTTTTCTTATAAACATGACATTTGACATCTGGATTTGACAATTCATCCAAAACTTTTTAACATGTTTTTAATATGTTTTAAACATGCTCTGTTCGTTGACAGCCTTAAATTAATATAACCCCTTTTGTGTGCTGATAATGCTGGCTTGTTGTATTTAATCAATATATTATGCATGATATCAAATTATCCAGGTCTGTATGGTTGGGAATACAGAATTGATCATTCTTTTTGCTGCATTATCCTTTTATACTACTCAAAAAAAGTCAGAGAACAAAAGGATAAAGTAGTGAAAAGAAAATGTCGGGTGTTCCTTAACTCTGAGTTTCATGTCACCTATTTGTTCATCTAATTTGTGTTTTTTCTTGGTTGGTTATTGTTTGGTTGTAAGTTTCAAATTGGGAACTAAATATATTGCATTTTGAAATTGTGTATGCTATGGATATTTAGCTTATATTATTCAGCTTTGCTTCACTGTAACATACTATAGAATCTTGCTTCAAACAGTTCCTGATTTTGACATTGATCAAGTGATATTCTGATGTCAATATTGACGCTGCTTCATGTTAGATGACTGAGAACATGTTCTTACGAAGTTCCATATCATTATTTGAAAATATAATTTATGTACAAATCGTTAGCTACAGTGGTATGTGTTTTTATATACTTTAGTGTTCAAGATTGTCACAATTGTAATGCATTAAGTTCAAGATTTAGAGGTCCCTGAAGGACAACCATCAAACCACCCTACTCCATGGCCATTTTGAACACTGTTCATGTCTCTGTAGGGGCGGTGGGGTAGCCTAGTGGTTAAAGCGTTCGCTCGTCACGCCGAAGACCCGGGTTCGAATCCCCACATGGGTACTTTGTGTGAAGCTCATTTCTGGTGTCCCCCGCCGTGATATTGCTGGAATATTGCTAAAAGCGGCGTAAAACCAAACTCACTCACTCACTCATGTCTCTGTACAGATGTCATAAAAGAATATATATGTAAACTGTAAGAGGCATATTCATAGACAGGTTACCCATGAAGATCCGTGTTAGAATTGGTCTCCACAACCAATGCTTGTTGTAGCAGGATCGAGTGGTCAGGCTCGCTGACTTGGTTGACACATGTCATCGTATCCCATATGTGTAGGTTGATGCTCATGCTGTAGATCACTTGATTGTCTGGACCAGACTTGATTAATTACAGACGCCATATAGCTGAAATATTGCGTGGCATTAAACAACAAACAAACAAACATGGACAGGGTGAATCAGTGACATGTCATCATACTCCTTACAAACATGGATTACTGCTCTTGATATCTGACTCTGGATAGCCTGGCCTCTATGGTATGTCGGGCGGTGGGGTAGCCTAGTGGTTAAAGCGTTGGCTTGTCACGCCGAAGACCCGGGTTCGAATCCCCACATGGGTACATTGTGTGAAGCCCATTTCTGGTGTCCCCCGCTGGAATATTGCTAAAAGCGGCGTAAAATCAAACTCAGTCAGTCAGTCAGTCAGTCTATGGTATGTCAGTTGGCTTCATATCAATGGAAGAACCGCCATCATGGTGTAGTGTTTAGAGCATGCGCCCGGAGAGCGGAAGGTCGCTTGTTCGATCCCCGGCCACATCATACCCAAACCCGTTAAAATATGGTACATGTTGGTCCCTGCCTTGCTCTCGGCATTAATGGGTACAACAAGGACTGGTCGGCTCGGGAGTCAGTATAATGTGTCTGAGTAGGGTATTCATGCTTAACTGCGGCATGGTATCTCAGTGGGCAAGCACTATAAAACCAGCTTCAGTCTGGGCTAGTACAAGCAGCTGCACATACACATACACATGCATGCACATCGTCATATGAGTGAAATATTCTTCAGTACGACATTAAACCCCATTTCATCTCACCTCAATGTTTCAATGCAGCATTAAGCAACATACACATCATCACTTGGTGACTATGAGATGCGGCTGCATGTAACCATGGTTACATTTTCAGCGACGCAGTGTGGTTACTGTTGCCAGTGAGACCGAGACTGTAGCCATGCTCCCAATGAGGGTATTGTCATATTATTAACTTTCTCATAGCATTATATATATCTGATCTTATAGGCCTGCCAAATAAACCAATAAGGCTTTTGTTGGAGCTGTTGTGCAGCTGCTCACTCAGTGCCAATGACATGTAATTCACTGCTGGCTAACTACAGTGCTAACCAGGGCAGACATAACACGAAGGCTTCAATTGGTACAGCACTAACACATTGTGTTAGGGACAGTGTTTCTGTTCTGTAGCAGATTCTGACCATTATAATCTTGAAGTCAGGATGTGTTGGCCTTTTACTGCATGGAATATGGTGGGGTCCTTTTTTTTAAAAGAGCTAACCATCCTGTAAAAACTATGCTCTGGCCAACCGGACCCATTTATTGGCCAGACCCTTGAAATATTTGCCATAGCTGACCAGTCCTTTGAAAGGTGTTCAAATGCTAGCCAGGACCCTGAAAGGTGTTCAAATGCTAGCCAGGACCTTGAAAGGTGTTCAAATGCAAGCCGAGACCTTGAAAGGTGTGCAAATGCTAGCCAGGACCTTGAAAGGTGTGCAAATAATAGCCAGGGCCTTGAAAGGTGTGCAAATAATAGCCAGGGCCTTGAAAGGTATGCAAATAATAGCCAGGGCCTTGAGAGGTATGCAAATAATAGCCAGGGCCTTGAGAGGTATGCAAATAATAGCCAGGGCCTTGAAAGGTGTGCAAATAATAGCCAGGGCCTTGAAAGGTATGCAAGTAATAGCCAGGGCCTTGAAAGGTATGCAAATAATAGCCAGGGCCTTGAAAGGTGTTTAAATAATAGCCAGGGCCTTGAAAGGTGTTCAAATAATAGCCAGGGTCTGGAAAGGTGTTTAAATAATAGCCAGGGCCTGGAAAGATGTGAAAATACAAGTCAGGCCCTTGAAAGGTGTGCAAAGGCCAGTAAAAGATGACACGTTTCTATGACAAGACAAGCCCAGTGAAAGATTTGCAATAACTAGCCAAGCTCATATGAAATAAATTTGCACATACCAAACTATGTGTGTCTCTATTTTATCGGATTTTTTTACAGCAATTCCATCATTGAGTTTTTAATGTTTTTTATATTAGAATGTTATTTTATTGTTATAGTTGAAGGTGATAAGACGGAATCGGGATGGACAAGCATGGAAAAAGGTCCCCCCTCCTCACCTGTATTGTTATGTATACTAATCAGGAAAATATAGAATTTACGCTAACTAACCTGCATTATTCCATCAACAAATACTGACAAATTAATAATTCCAACTTCAAAGCAAAATCAGTTGTTGGACACAAAAAAGATCGGTCCTTTTCATTTATCAGCTAGGTTTGTCAGTATAAGTGATGGATGTTACAGAGCCTCGTGGACAGCATGCACATAACCTATGTCGGTCACCGAGAGGTGTTGAATGGAAAAATGTATTTTGGTGTGGGACTGCTTAATAAGGATATAGGGCAGTAGGGTAGCATAAGGGTTAAAGCGTTTCCTCGTCACGCTGAATACCCGGGTTTGATTCCCCACATGGTACAATGTGTAAAGTCCATTTCTGGTGTGCCCCGCTGTGATTCTGCTGGAATAGTGCTAAAAGCAGTGTGAAACTAAACTCACACTAATAAGAATTTGTTGGGCTGCAGTAACATGTGAAAATTCCATGGGCAACAAGTAGATTTCTATACAGCATAAAACATGATACAACAATGTTATAGTATTGTATACTTCTCAAAAGAAGTTAAGACCACCTGCACTATAGTTAGATATGAAAGATTGGTGTTCCTTAGCTTCTTTTGATGAGTATATGATAGCATGAATTGGGGACTTTGACTTCTAATTTTTGCATTTTTACTGACAGGGGTCAGACATTTGCCCCTTAGGTCAAGATAATTTTCTGTAAACGGCACTGAATGTATTTCACAGTGTGTGCAGTTTTGTTTAGTAGGAGACTTGAAGTTAGAATATTTGAACTATATCCGAACAATTTTCCTAGTGACATAACCCTTGAAGCATATCCCTGGCAGGAAGATCCCAAGAGTTAGTTCTTCCATTGTCTTCTAATTGTCAGACGATTTCCACGAAGATAGCAAGAACTACTGCTTTGCTGCTGTATTGGTTGAATGTTGCTGGAATATTGCTAAAAGTGGTGTCAAACCATTCTTACTCACTTTGCATCGCTAACAGAAGACTAACACTGGATTTCCAACTAACATCTTCCACTAACATGAACCTGGGGTGCAAAACATAACCGCCTTCACCTCAGTTGACCTTTTGCACTTAATGGAGGTGGTGCTGTGGCACATATATTATTGTTTGTTCCAAGAGTTGTTGGTTTTCTTCTTTTATTTCAGAAGCAAGTATTCAATTTCAATAGAAACTGAAGTGCCAAAAAAACTTGAACTTCTCATGAAACTTGGTTATATAATAAGGAAATGCCATGATTCGACTTGTTGCCTTTCATGCATTTCAGCATTTTCTATTTTTGTAAAATTGTTTGTCAAAATTCCTTCTTTTTCTTCAACATGTTTCATGTGACAGTTTCCATTTACAGTTTGTTAGTTTGTCACCGTAAGCATGTAATAAGGGATTGAACCCACAACAAATGATATAATCCCATATCACCACGTACCATTGCAACAGGTTGATTGAGCTAATTCTCGGGCTAACTTCTGGAGGTTTCCATTATTCCATCTGCATGCATATATTCTATACTCTCACTAACAACTGCATAATTATCAATGTGCATGTTTATGTCTGTCAAATATGTTGTAACCAAGTATTTTGCACTTTTGTCATAAATAAGTGTCTTTTATGATTTATGAAGCTGTATCATGTTTGATTTTCCAGTGTATCATGTCTATGTTATGATAACTACCACGGACTCATGTGCAACCAGGGAGGCATTTAATGGATCAGGCTCATGTCTTGTTGTTTTAGTTTTTCTATATCAATAATAAAGGTACTGTGCCTTTTGACCGTACATTTTTAACACTCATGATATGTAATAATCTGGAACTATAAAAGCAACACATGGGCCTGGGTTTCAGGGATAGATTTTAACACAAAAAGCTTCCTAGTTACATATCTTTCAGGAATACGCTCCACAGTGCTTATTGTTAGGCCAGCCCTCAGGATACCTTAAACCTGAGTTCAGATAATAGGCTGGAGCAAAGTTTGGTCATTGTTCCTTGACACAAAATAATACCATCCAAACATACACCCTCAAAGGATTTCACCCCAATTATAGGCATAAACATTCCTTCTGGATTATGGTTGACTTATTCCTGTGGATTCCACAGACACATACAGAATGGAAATGAATTTTTTTTAACTAAGTCATAGCTATCCCTAGTGGTATGCTTAAAAGAGTTATGCAGTTATCTCCCTTAGCTGTGACGTCACAACGTAGTTGTTGAAAACCTCTCATGATTTTTCTGAAGAAAAAAATGCCATCCAAACGTACACCCTCGAAGGATTTCACCCCATTGGTCATAATACTTTCATTGTTATATTAGTGCATTAATCTTGAATGCAAAATTACCTTAATGCTTGAGGAAAACATGAAGGTAAATGCTCCATCAAATTCTTTGTTATCTGTTTGGAAGGAGAAGTATGTTGACTTCTACTTCACAAGGGTAATTTTGATTGTTAAATATAAGCGTAATGAGCAAGAGAGACTCTGTGTTAATTGTTAATGACATCAATGGATATTGCAATATTGATGAAATGAAACAGTGATGGTGAATCAGTCCACGGTAGATTTCGTCAGAATGGAGATATGAAACACTGGGTAATCAAGGATGGGTTAATGTATGTGCTTCATTTAAATATTTGAGGCATAACATGCAACATATGCCATTTCTTATGTTTCAAAAACATAAATTTAAATTCAAATAATTGTAATGTTATCTGTCAAAATGTAAGAACTTCTATATATTTTCTGAATATATATAAATCTGATTGAAAACAATGACAAAAAAGTACACTGCTCAATATTTCTTAGGGATACTGAGATATATCAAATGTTGAATAGCATGTATTCAGTATATTCCTATTTTGAACAGAAACACTTGATGAATAATTAGATAGTTAGAAATATTTATGGAGAAATATATGAATTTCTTATTTCTGTATGAGAGATGTTGTGTTTTTGTTTTACTACTGTAGTGCTTTCTTCTCCAATTAATTCATGAACTGAAGTGCTTGTATTCTTGATAATGAAGAACTAGACTTCAAAGGTAAGAGGTGAACGATGCAGGCACCTTGTACAGTGTTCGAAATTCAGAGGAGTCAAGGGATACTCAAAGTTAGCCTGTGTGGTAAAGTGAAACCTAGATGTTCTTGACTTCCCTGCTGTGTTTCGAACACTCTTTCGTTTGTTCCGTGATCACAAATTTTCATCTTCTTAACACAGGGTTATAGGACAGTGAATATATCCGATGAGGGGCCTCGTCATCACCTTGCCATCACTGGGAGGTCCTTCGCAGTCGTCACATCTCACTTCCCAGAGATGCTGGAGAAGGTAAGACCAGAGCTCACGATAAGATTTAGCTCATGTGGGTACTGTACCCACTGTATTTTTTGGGAGTGGGTATTATGAAGTTTGAGTGGGTATTTCATTTTCTGTTACCCACTGCTTTCAAATATGTGCGTATTTCACAAATTTCACGTATTTCAGTCATTTTATTCACCTAAGTATTATGTCATTGAGTTTACTAAGCCGGTATGTTCTGCCTTCACGTCATACCGAAAGCAAAACCGACTTAGATATAATGGAAATGATTTTTTTAAATTCTCTCATGCTATACTGACAGTACAACTTGATAGCAATAGATGTCTTTTCATTACGCAAGTGATTTTTATAAATAAATTCTGCACGCATTTGTTTTAAACTTTTGCGTATCTGACATTTTAAATCGTGGAATTGGTGCATGCTAACAATTATTTTTCAATGCGTAATTGGAAATTTTCTATGTGTATTTTACCTGGATAACGCAGCTTATCTGGGCCTCTGATGTTAAGGTGGAGGCGTTGTTAGTGGTTAGTGATTCTAGTGTCATTCCACGTGAACTGTTTTATTGTGCCAGATGAGATGTTAGGGTTATTCCACATGAAGTCGTAAAGTTTTTATACCACAAGATGTAATGTCATTCCACATAAGACGGCTTGTGTGTAGGACTTTGGAGAGTGCATTACTGAGTTGAAATGGCAAGCAGATTTGTCTCTCTTTTATGGCACGGATGTCTTTGAGCATGACTGCCGATCCACAAAGCATTTGTAATGTTTCGACCGTCGTAACTCCACAGTTTACCAAAGGCTTACTTAATGTCATAGCACTTCAAACCCTTGGTGTCGGGGGCTGTGGGGTAGTCTAGTGGTTAAAGCATTCATTCGTCACGCCGTAGACCCGGGTTCAATTCCCCACATGGGTACAATGTGTGAAGCCCATTTCTGGTGTTCCCTGCCGTGATATTGCTGGAATATTGCTAAACACTTGTGTATCGGGATCCAGATGTGGCACTGCTATTTTGTTTCTCCTATTTACCTCTTATGAGAAACTATCCCTTATTATTATGAACTTTGAGTAAATTGTTATCGTAAATTGACACAGCGGCAGATAGATGGGCAAGGTGTGGTGAGGAGAACATACATTTTTATTCACCCCATTCCCTGTCAGCAATAAGATCAGTGATTAGGGGTAGCCCATTGGTTTCGTCCGCCGAAGACCGGGTTCGAATCCCCACATGGGGAACAATGTGTGAAGCCTATTTCTGGTGTCCCCATGCCGTGAATTTGCCGGAATATTGCTAAAAGATAAAACTAAACTCAGTCAGTCAGCAATAACTAGAATCCCAGTGACAACATTACATCAAACCACTGTCTTCTTCTTGTGAAAAGGGTCGGTGGGTAGCCTTGTGGTTAAAGCATTTGCTTGTCACACACGGAGGCAAGGGTTCAAATTTCTATATGGGTACAATGTTTGAAGCCCATATCTGGTGTCCTCCACCGGGATATTGCTAAAAGCAGTGTAAAACCCAACTCACTCACTCACTCACTCTTCTTGTGAAATACTTGTTTGTAATGGTGGTGCTGGGATCCAAGGTGCTTGCTGCTCTATATGTAGATAAGATAAATGAGATGTACCATTTGTTAACATGACTGGTCATATGTTTTTTGTTGTGTTTTTTTCAGATTTGTACCAAAGGCACTGTGTTTGCACGAATGTCGCCAGAACAGAAGTGTCAGCTGATACAGAACCTGCAGAACCTGGAGTAAGACTTGTCAAGGAACATTTGTTTGTTTGTTTGACCTCTAGTTTGTTTGTTTGTGTGAGAGCTGGTTTGTTTGCATGATGCCAGCTGGTAAATTATCAGATTATCATGTCATCAAGGGGCGGTGGGGTAGCCTAGTGGTTAAAGCGTTGGCTCGTCACGCCGGAGACCCGGGTTCGAATCCCCACATGGGTACAATGTGTGAAGCCCATTTCTGGTGTTCCCCGCTGTGATGTTGCTGGAATATTGCTAAAAGCAGCGTAAAACCAAACTCAGTCAGTCAGTCAGTCATGTCATCAAAATTGTGAGCACCCGTCCATGCTGACAGACTACATGGACGTTTCATCCAGTTGTCGCCATGCCTGCCTGACCATGTGCTACAGAGCAGTTAAGTTGCCTTTAAGGCACAGGTTAGGTTGCCTGAGAACTAGTGTTATGGGTTTGTCACAGCAAGAAACATGTGGAAAACAGGTAGAGTGGCTAGCCTTGAGGATCAGGTGCTTGACTGTGTTTCATGAGATCTGGGGTTTATTCCACACATTGTTTGAGTGGAATCAGGTCTTGGTGTCATGAGAGGTAATATCACAGCAAAAGTGTTCAAATACAATATGTTGAATATTCTATGAAAATTTCAGGGAAATATATGGGAAAATATATTAAGGGAATTTGATGGTCAAAATGGCTGCTGAATCTGACTTAACGAACTGCTGTGTGATATGGCTGATTTCAGCATAAAAAAACCTTCACTCATGTCAACTTCTGTTTTACAGCAACATTGTCGGTATGTGCGGAGATGGTGCAAACGACTGTGAAGTAAGATTTTTAGCTTTACTTTCTTGTCCTATAAACAGTATAGAAGAAGTAGATCCTTTGTAACAGCACAGATGTACATAGAGTGAAACTCCCTTGTCCAGTTGCATCTGTGAAATAGTCCTGTATAAAAATTATGTGCTCACTGTGTAAGTTCTCTCTGCTCCATATACACAAGTTATAAATTAGTATGTGTCAACATTATGATTTCTTAGACTGCTATTATAATAATTTTCACAAAAAAATTAACTGAAACCACATACAATATCAGTGACATTGTTCAGTGCAAGAATACAGCACATGCCCAAACCAATCCTATTTGGAAACAGTTGTCAGGTTTGGCCTATTTTTCTGTCAAAAATTGAGACTATCAAATTCAACAAAATCACTTTCTATTCCATTATATGTGAAGTGGTGAAAGGTGGGCACAATGAGTTCTGAGTCTCACTAGCACGACAAGTTGAATGCCCTAGGTACTGTTTGGGTAACAATGACATTGGAATGTTTCTGTGTCAGGCTCTGAAGGCTGCCCATGCCGGCATCTCCCTGTCAGAAGCAGAGGCATCGGTTGCAGCCCCCTTCACATCACGCATCTCCAACATCGAGTGTGTCGTCACTGCCATGAGGTATTTGCATTTCTTTGGGGCCGGTGTTACTGACGTCATGCATGTCTGAGAAATAATGCCTCTTGAAATATTTTTGTAGGGGCTGGGACAAGCAGTGACATTTTAAAGATTACTGTCATGGCAGGGACAACTTGCCCTGTAAACCACATATTACATATTTTAACTGAATGTTTGTTTATTGTTGATGCCGCACTCCGCAATATTCCAGCTATATGACAGTGCTTGGTAAATAATTGAGTCTGGACCAGATGATCCAGTGATCAACAGCATGAACATTGATCTCTGCAATTGGGATACGATGATATGTTCCAATCAAGTCAGCGAGCCTGACCCCGATCCTGTTTGTCGCCTCTTACGAAAAACATGGGTTGCTGAAGATCAATTCTAACCCGAATCATCGCAGATCTTTTCTCATTCAGAGTATGGTTTTACAACCTTCTTATGAAAAGCATGGGTTACTGAAGATCATCTCTAACACAGATTTTCACGGGTATTAAAACTGAATGAAGACATAAATATTAACTCATTTAAAAGAGCATATTTTGATTGCACTGCATTTATTGAATGCTTCAACTGAAATAATTAGAAGCAGCCTGACACCACAACAATGGAGTTGTTTACAGCAGGGTGAGTACTTTGTTTCAGAGAGGGCAGAGCAGCCCTGGTGACATCCTTCGGCTGCTTCAAGTACATGGCTCTGTACAGCTTCATACAGTTCGTGTCTATCCTCATCCTCTACACGGTCAGTCAGCAGTTAGCCCAGCGGAGAGTGCTCCATGTCGTAATGTTTGATTCCCCACTGTTTGAGTCCAGGCTGCTGTGATATGTGTGCTGATTTCTACAGCATAGTCTAGGATCATTCATAGCTGATGTTGGGTGGGTAACTATTGTGGGCTTATGAGATATGTTCTGCTTAAAAGTCCATCAGGATGTTCTGAAAGGGTAAAGTTTGCCTGCTGGTTTTTAGGCATCACATTTTGCAGAGTTATGTCCCTTGGTTCAGTCAGGATGCAGTGGTCAAGTGAGGTCTGAGATTTTCCCCAAAATTGTTTCTCACCACCATACTTGTACATTTTAGTTTCATCAGCTGTCCACCAACAGCAAGAGGGGCGTGGGGTAGCCTAATGGTTAAAGCTGTCCGAAGACCCGGTTCGAATCCCCACATGGGTACATTGTGTGAAGCCCATTTCTGGTGTCCCCCGTGATGTTGATGTTGCTGGAATATTGCTAAAAGCGGCGTGAAACCAAACTCAGTCAGTCCAACAGCAAGAGACACTTGTACATAACTGAAAGACCATTCAAAGTGCATAATGCTCCAGTAACATACCAATGTTCATATTTTGACAAGTAATTCCAAGGACATGAGTAAATCAAAGCGAACTGTGTCAAAATGTCCTCATCATATGTCAAGTAGACAAGCCAGTGATAGAATGTGCAAAATATATCTTCATGACACAAATAGATAAAGACCACATATGCAATGATGAACCATTGGTTATTAACTTGGTCCTGACAGACGTGTTTCTTGTTTTTCAGTTTGGTGCCAACCTGTCTGACTTTGAGTTCCTGTACATTGATCTGGTCATTACAACCACTGTTGCTGTCCTGAGTAAGTTACCTTGGAATTTGGGCGGTGGGGTAGCCTAATGGTTAAAACGACTCCATCAAGAAGTCCGGTTCGATTCTCCACATGGGTACATTGTGTGAAGTCCATTTCTGGTGTCCACCGCCGTGATATTGCTGGAATATTGCTAAAGGCGGCATAAAACAAAACTCAATCACTCACTCATCTTGGAATTTAAATAAAACAGGTCCCAAGTATGCCCTGCTTATTCTGAGGGTGAAATATGGTTCAGAGTCATTGTACTGTCTGAGGTGTGCACCATCTATAGGACCACAGGTCACATCGAGTTTGGTTCACTGGCCCATACCACAGGCTTATCAGGACCACTCTACTCTGTCACTATTCTTGGGGAAAGTGGGTTAGCCTAGAGATTAGAGTGTTCAGATCCCCACATGGGTACATTGTGTGAAGCCCACTTGTGGTGTCCACTCACTCACTCTCTCACTCACTCACTCCTCGTCATACCAAAGGCGTTAAAATATGGTCACTGGTTCCTGCCTCACTCGGCATCACTGGGTACAACAAGGACTCACTCGGCTCGAGTCAGTATAATGTGTCCTACTGGGGTATTCATGCTCACTGCAGCATGGTATCTCAGTGGGCTAGCACTATAAAACCAGCTAAGTCTCTAGTACAAGCAGCCTCACTCACATACACTCACTCACCGTCTCATATGAGCGAAATAATCTCACTCACTCACCTCACTCACTCACTCACTCACTCACTCACTCACTCACTCACTCACTCACTCACTCACTCACTCACTCACTCACTCACTCACTCACTCACTCACTCACTCACTCACTCACTCACTCACTCACTCACTCACTCACTCTTGTTTCAGTGGGGTACACTGGCCCCTACCACAAACTGGTCAGGAAGAAGCCACCTGGGAGTCTGGTCAAGGTGTCCAACCTGCTGTCCATCATCGTACAAGTCTTGCTTGTTGGAGTCATGCAGATTTCAGCATATTTGTATCTCCGATCTCAGTCATGGTGAGTGCCCTATCACCAAATATGACAGTGTAAACAAAATCACCTGATGTAATGTATAATAACATAGAAATCTGCCCATGTCATTTTGTGAGAAATGTATTGTTATACCTTAAGTTTACTCTATGGTGGACATATTGTTTGTTTTTAATTTTATCTTTGGTAATTGTTAATTCATATCCTATCTCACAATTGCGAAAAAAGAATACACAATGCAATTTAGAAAGTCGTCAAATGTGATTCGGAATTCGAACCCACTACCCTCAGAGTTAAGCACCTAATCGCCAGCACACAAAGTCAGTAGCCTAACCCGTTCATCCCAGATGGGACTCAATCCCAACAAAAGTACAACCATCTGTACTTTACAAAGAAAATGTAATCCCAAATATAACATATGTTACAAAACAAATGGAGGACAGGCAAGGAGACCTAGATTGGCAACATTGAAGAGGGCAAAAATGTATGGATTTCTTAGTGTTGAAAACATGTCATTTCGGTGTAGATATTAGAAGGACAATGAGTTGGCTGGAGAAGCTACAGTGTCAGCATGTATGGGTCGACTGGGATGAGAAACATACATGATCCAGATTGCTTGGAGGTGATGTTCGGTATGTTCACGTGAACTGATTTTAGAAGCTGGAAACCATGTTTCCACTTTGGAGTGAAAGAGAAATGTGTAGGGTAAGTAAATAAATATACAGTTTATTGTAAAATGTACAATGTTGTTCATGTATTTAGGTATGAAGAACCCCCGCCCAGCAAGGACCTGGAGAATGTGAAATCCTGGGAGTCTACTGTGATATTCCTTGTGTCGTCGTACATGTATATATCAGTTGCATTCTGCTTCTCGAAGGGACCACCATTCAGAAAGCCCATCTACACAAACTGTAAGTTGAGGATGATGGATGTTCCTGTGTCAGTAATCTGTGTCACAGTCCATGAACTGCATTATTTGCCTACCCTTGGAGATTCGGGGAAGAAATGGTCCTCAGCAACCCATGCTTGTTGTAAGAGGTGACTGACTGGATCGGGTGGTCAGTATATAAAATTGCATAGATTGATGCTCATGATGTTGATCACTGGATATGACTGGTCCAAACTCAAGTATGTACATACTGCCACAATAAAGCTGGAATATTGCTGAGTGCAGCGTTAAACAACAAACCAAAGTTCTCAGTCATTGCCGTTGTCGTCAGTTTCTGGTTTTGCCGGTCAAGAACTGACCATTTGACGGAAATATTCTGACACTGTTAAACACTCTCTCACTTGTAGCTTCCAGTTTGGATGGCATTAGTGCCGTCAAATATTCAAACTTGAACATGTTTTTCTCTTTTTTTCAGATCCGTTCCTAATCTCTATGATACTTTTATTTGGTTTCTCCACATTTCTGCTGTTGTTGCCCCTCCCCGAAATAGAACACTTCCTAGAGGTGAGCACAACCAAACAAGCTGTGATTTTGTTATCAAATTCAGAGTTATTAAATTATTAAATTGATAATGAGATGTGATTTGAATGAGATTGCTCACCCTTATGAAGAGAGGTGTGAAATTGATAAAAAGATGTGATTTGAATGAGATTGCTCACCCTCACAAAAGGGAGGTTTCAAATTGATAAAAAGACGTGATTTGAATGAGATTGCTCACCCTCAAAGAGAGAGGTTTAAATTGATAAACAGATGTGATTTGAATGAGATTGCTCATCCTCACAAAGTTATCTTGTCATGTGTCTGATGCTTTCAGATGAAGGAACTCCATGAGAAATCAATTACATTCCGTCTGTACCTGTTTGGTTTCGCCATCGGGTTTGCTATCATATCTTGCTTCTTGGAGGTAGGTCTGTGGGTGTTGCTATAAATAGTGTCCTGTGACCCAAGTGTTTCAGCATCATGGTTCACGCTTTCATGTTGACTTTCTTTATATCAGGCCTTTAAACATTTTAATTTGATTTGATTTAATTTAATTTAATTTAGTTTAATTTAATTCGAAAGACATCTGTGAAGAGAAGATACCAAACTTTTCCTCTTGTTAATTTTGTGTGATTTGATTTATAGACTTTATGATTGATTGGAACAAATGTTTTTGCCTTCCTTTGTTTTGCCAAAATTGTAAATAATAACGATGCTAAGTGAAAGTATTTAATACAACTTATAAAATACCTTAAAACATTCTTGATATACAATGAACATTTATGTAACCAGTTTGTTAGAGAACAATGCTAACTTGCATAACTGATTTACTGATTGTTGACATGCTGTCATTGGTTTTCTTCATCCCTTTACAGGAATATTTTTATCTTTACATGAGACACAAAACAGATTCTTCTCTTTATATGCGAAGTCCTTATTCAGTTAGAGCAATATTTCTGATTATCCCTGTCTTAAGCTGAATGGTATAATATCTGGTGGCAATAATGTCTTTGCTTTGGAAATATCAAAAGCTTCAATTTTGGCCATATGTATTTTTGGTCTTCAGCAGCCAATGCTTGTTGTAAGAGGCAATTAATGGCATTGGTCATTCAGACTTGCTGGCTTGGTTGATACTTGTCTTTAAAACTGAAATGCTTAAATTTATGCTTATAATGTCAGTCACTGGATTGCCTGGTCCAGACTTGATAATCTACAGACAGTTGTCATTTTGCTGAAGTATTGTTGAATGTGACATTAAAATAACAAACAAGAAAGCTGTGTTTATAAGGGAGATAACTGCTGGTTGATGACATCTACATTATTCATAAGGGACCGTTCATAATTTATACCTAGGTGGGGTGATGATGAATTTTATGGAGAAGCATGTACAGTGTGAATGACTCCCCCTAAAATTTTTGAACTAAGCAAGTGAACCTCCCTGCATGTCATGTACAATATCAATGACACCCCTTCCCCCTTTCCAGACCTGTGAAGATCTGGGGTATAATAGGTCTTCAGCAACCCATGCTTGCCACAAAAGGCGACTATGCTTGTCGTAAGAGGCGACTAACGGGATCGGGTGGTCAGGCTCGCTGGCTTGGTTGAAACATGTCATCGGTTCCCAATTACGCAGATCGATGCTCATGCTGTTGATCACTGGATCGTCTGGTCCAGATTCGATTATTTACAGACCGCCCCCATATAGCTGGAATATTGCTGAGTGCAATGTAAAACTAAACTCACTCACTCACTCACTTCCCCCTTCCCATAATTTCTAAGCATATTTTAAAAATATATACAGTACGTACAAAACTGCTGACCTTCCCAGTACATGTGTACAAAATTGATGACCCCCCTACCTCCCCAGAACAAAATGGGTGACCCGCCCTTAAAATTATCACCACACCCACCCACCCCAGCCCCCAACCCCCAAGCCATAATTATGAACGGTCTCTAAGCAAATAGTGTTCTATTAAATCCCCACTCACTCACTAACTCTTTGTTTCAGTATATGATAGTGGATAGCAGCATGTTGAAACCATGTTACACGGCCATAAAGAACAGACGTCCTCAGAATAGGTACAAGGTTGTCGAGAAGGAAATCAAGAACACTGATTGGCCACCTGTGGGTCAGGTGACTTTCCCAACAACCAATGCAGTCCTTGTCAGCGACATCCATGTTGACATGAATTCTCAAAGTGCAATACACTAGCCCTCTTTGGCTGGAAACTTAACTTCACACAAAATGGTTTTTGATGAAAATTTATTGAAATGTTCAATGGATTAAATTATTTTATTACAACACGGCAGTATCATGACTACATGTTCAACTATGTATAATGTATCTGTGATGGAGAAAACAGATTGTTTTCATTGATCAGAAATGGTTACCATGGATACACATATATATCATAGTATTATTTTGTACAGATATTTTCATGTTAACCACAGCGATACCTTTTATGTTTTTCCACATGATCTTGTTACTTAAATATAGTGGTGGATGATCTCTGTTGAATGATGTTGCATGCTTATGATTAGTTGAGGTGATGAATTTATCCAATGTATTTGGGAACATGCTTTATTGGCAAAATTTTCTTCACAAACCAGCAATAACAATCATCCTTTCAGTGATTTTAATAAGGCAGAACATTTCATTTTGGTTGTCATCAAATCTGGCGAAATCCTTTGTGGATCATAGTTTGACCTAAGAAAATTTCTTCCAATAGAACTTATCCAAATTGTAATCTTTATTAGGTACAATTAATATTAATGACTATGTTGTCATGCCCGCAACACTTACTGGTACCCACATACTACTTTGATGCTGGTGCATGATGATCTTCCTCAGCTTGATAATAAATCTTTCACTGTGATATGATTTTACAATAATATCGGAGCAACATGGATTAACTGGCATCAGCCCCAGACTTTTGGCAATAATATGTAATTCTACCTTTTGAGATTATTCTATATATGCATTGTCATGTTAAAGAAGAAAAATAATAAAATGTTAACTGTATAGAGAAAGGTCTCTGAAATGCACCTGATGTTCATCCTCGATAATCTCCAGGGTATACTTCCAATAAATTTCTACTAGTACCCTGGATGCATCTACAGCTCGGGCTGATAATTGTATTACCTTCCTTTGCTGGTTTCATCTTCAAACAGTAGCCTATCAGATTAAGCCATAACAACCAAGCTTGCCAGAAGCCGCGAAGGTCGGCCAGCTGTGCAACTCAGATTTAGGGAAAAAATCATACAAACAAATTGACAGGTCTGAAACCTTAAAAAAATATATGCATCTTCTACCTCTTTCAGGGTACCTCTGCAACATTTGTGTTGCCAAGTTTAATCGGTTAGATAGAAGAAGCGGAAGGGAGTTATGATAGAAGCCTTGTGATTGGTAAGCTCAACTTTCTAGCGTAGACATCTGATTGGATAAAAAGCCATCAAAGTGAAGTAATACAATTGTCAGGCCGATCCGTAGATGCATACAGGGTACTAGTGGAGATTCATGGGAATGTATACGCTGGAGATTATTGAGGATGCATGATATTCAGATGGCACAATGGCGTCAATATATTACCTCGTGAACACAGACTGATGTTGTCTACTGTCACGCAGTGGGACTGTGGGGAATGTGTATGGACCAGCATTGAGAACTGTTGAAATGCACATGTGCAATAAATCCAAAAGTTATTTCACTGGATCTTCTATTGGATATTGGTAATATTATGCTAAGAAAACAATGGCTGGTTTGTGGATATAGAATTACTCGCAAATTGATGTTGTGTATATAACCATGTTTTGAATATACTAGATTGTGTATCAGAGTCACATTCAGTTCCAGGTTGTTAACTTGTTACCATGGTAGCAGATGATGTTATACCAGTTTGATATTTCATCAGGGTGTTATTTAGCCAGCAATTTTATTTCCTTTGAATTGACAGTCCTCTTTTTTAAGGCTTGGTCCCAGAGTTCCAAACAACACAGCTGTTAGGGTACATGGTTTTACATATTTGTCATGGAAGCATTTTGGCATTGTATGAAAGATGCATAATCCAGGATTGGCCCAGTCATCTAAATTACCATACAGAGTTGCTTCCCTTAGTGTACCAGGATCCGAAGATTGTGGGTTCAGATCCCACTTTCCAGTGACTAAGATTCTTGGCTTACCAGTACTGTATCTTTTACAACAGTTGTAAACATTTCAGACCAGCTTGACTTTGGGCATTTCCTCCAACTTCATCTGAATTTCATCGTGTAATTGAAACACTGTTGAAAGCAGCCTTAGACTACTCCTTCACATTCAAGTTAGGTTATCCAAAGTATTTCTGTACATAGATGTGTTATCAATACCAACTGCAACAAAACAAATAGCATTGTCCTATTTACAATAAGAAATCAGATTTATTCACAGAGAACACAAAATAGTATTTGTTTGTTGACAAAGAAAAGTATTTTTTAATCTACACAACTGATAATTATTCTGGACATAATACGTAATTTGTTTGTTGTTATCTGTACATCAGCATATATTATACCACTACATAAATCAAAATGTGAACAGTCTGTCAACAAGATAGATATTTTTCCCCAAACCAAAGGGTCAGCTTCTTGAATTCAGAGACAAAATATCCAAGAGGTGTTCCCTCTCTAAAGATCACAAACCATAATTATTGTGTCGAAAATACTGTTTCTATTGGTGATATTCAGAGAAGTGTTGGTAAATTTATGAAAGGTGAATTTTTAAAAGTGTTGGGGTTTTTTCATAATTATTCTATTTTTTATATATTAAATGCATAAGTATTGAAATAAGATCTATTTTTACATGTACAAAGTAGGGGTAACATATTTATTTCCCATAGATGTCTTAGACAATCATTAATCCTTTAGTTAGACTTCAAGTATGACAATTCAGCAATGAAATGGCTTTGTGGAAATGGTGCTTGGCTTTTTCCAATGCTTAACCCCTGACCCAGCCTAGGCGCTGCATTGTTAATATTAATGTTCATATAAAGACCTGTTTTAGATAATGTAAGAGGGACACATTATTATTGTTACCTATGTTTTTTCATTATTCATTGTGGTGATATTGTAAATCTAGATCTATTACTCTGTTTTGATACGTCACTGTGGGTGGCGGGCTAGCCAAGTGGTTAAAGCGTTTGCTCATCACGCCGAAGGCCCGGGTTCGATTCCCCACATGGGTACAATGTGTGAAGCCGATTTCTGGTGTCCCCCGCCATGATATTGCTGGAATATTGCTAAAAGCGGCGTAAAACTAAACTCACTCACTCACTGTTTACATCCAGGGTGCCTGAATAGGAGGTTGTGCTTTATGAACCACGACTCGAACACTTTGTCAAATGATGACTGCATGCTTTCATTATTAGAAAAGGTAATTCTGTTTGGGAGACCTGTGAAGATCCGGTTTAGAATTGATCGTCAGTAACCCATGCTTGTCATAAGAGGCGACTAAGGGGATCAGGTTGTCAGTCTCACTGACTTGGTTGACACATGTCATTCGATTGTATCCCAGTGGCATAGATCGATGCACATGCTGTTGATCACTCGATTGTCTGGCCCAGACTCGGTTATTTAGAGACCACTGCCATATAGCTGGAATATTGCTGAGTGTGGCGTAAAACTAAACTCACTCACTCACTCACCTGTTTGGGAAACAGAGATTATATATACTGGTCTGAATGCATTGCACACTGAAATGTAAGAAGCATCACAACTGGTTGATATTTCAATATTTTGAAGATGTGATAAGATCATCATGGAGAGACGTATAATTTTAATGAGATCATATAGTACATGGCTGTTCAGTGCAGGAATAGTGGGGGAGGTTAGAATGCTGCGCAGTTGGTTCTGGTTCAAATCCTGATAAAAACACATTGAAGGAAAAAATGTTGAGTTTATTTTAAAAATATATATAGATATCTACCATGTATAAAACTGTTCAAGTCAAGTATGATGGTTAAAGACAATTCCTTATTTTGCTCACATGATATATACTACACATCAAAAGTTTTGACTCACTTAAAGCACTAACTATATTTTATGAATATATGTATGGTTACATCGAAGATGAATTTCTCCTCTTACTTGGGGGGAACCAACTGCAAAACTTATGCAGATGAATTACATGAGGATCATGCATCAAATGGCTGAAAAGCATGTGCAAATATCGTGCATGTGAACAGCTGTGTTTTGGTGAAAAGTTTTGTTAAGAATTCGTCAATTTTCACTGAGTTTCATCATTTATTGAACTCATGACAATAGTCTTGTCAACGCGACAAATTTGTTTTACAATACATCAGTTCATGTGTAAACAGTACCTATAAACAGTATGGGATATTTTGCAAAATCTAGTTTAGAACAGTTGACTGAAGTAAGTGGCTACATTTACACTGGTGAGTCTAAACTTTTGATGGGTAGTATACGTTTTTTATGAAAAGAAGAAATTGTTATGGGGGAATGTTGGGTTTTTTTTCATTCAGATTTTGTAGAAGAATAGTTTGGCTTCCCAGAATATATACAATATGTCTTTGCATCATGCAAATGAGTTTTTCCACAATTAATTTATTTATTTGTCCTGCTCCATCTTGCCAAAGTTCATTAAAACAGACAGCTCAGTTATAAAATCTGCAAATTATGGCTAAAAATGAAAAGAAATTCATGGTTTGGTGTGAATGAATCTACCAAGATGGTGTGACATGAAATCTCGCTCAAATATTATAATTTCAATAGTTGCCCTCATTTCTAGACCTCCACAAACTTGAGAACTCTCTTGTCAAGTTCAAGAAGGGTATATTTCTTAACTACTAAGAATGATGGAAAGCAAATCGTGGTCCCTCGCACTTAATACAGAAGAATATAGTTTATTAGACTCATCTTCTCATTATTGAAGAGTGAGGAAAGACTGCTCATCTATGTTTGTTTAATTTAGAAACAGTGGTTAAAGTCAATACAAGACACTTGATATGGATGTGCAACTTCTTTATTATTTACACACGACGTTTCTGGGCTAATACTTGCCCCTTCACCTGAAGTAGAATACACAATAGCGGTTCTGTGACAGGTCCTTACCAAAGGCTTAATTTTTCCTTATCCTGACTCATGCTTAACTGCTTGTCTCCTTCTTCTTGCTAATGATAGTGGAACACTTGAATCCCCTTTTGAAGCTCCCTTCAAAAAAGCGGACGTAAAATCACTCACCCAGTTTTATCTCCTTTTAGCTGTTTTAGCGGGAAATCCGTCACATGACCCAACATGCTCCTCACTCTCTCCTTCTTCGCCCTAGAGGACGGTTGTGAGAGCGCCTGGGTCCCCTATACAGCGTTATATCCTTTTATATTTAGGCCTTTCCTACTAAATTAACTGTATACGGCATTTGATATACCAGCAATATGGTTTGAAATTTTTGTCTAAATTATCTGTTTATTCACGTTGTTGACATGATTTTTCATCTTGTTTACAAGTGATGAAAACTTGCATTCGTTGCAGATACCGTTTCTCGGTTGCTGATCCGCATTTATTATGTCCTAATTGCACTTCTCCATGTTCTTCCAGCTTTCGCTGTCAACTTTGTCAGCATTTATCTGAAATTGAATTTAATAATTATTTATATTCCATTCTTAGACGTGCCAAGGACAGGTCTAGACGGCTTTTACAAGTCATGTCTAAACTGAGTGATTGCGCTGATAACCATTTATTACTGTCTGCTGACATTCACCATTCCAGTTATTTACCGGTTGCTACTACGGAGCATGTTGCTGTGGCTGATGGTAGCTCCGGCTCCAGGAAGAGGTAAATTAAGCCGTTGGTAAGGACCTGTCACAGAACCACTATTGTGTGTACTACTCCTGATGTGTCTTGTATTACCCTACCAACTTCTAAATGCCTATCAAACATTTGGTTAGAGTTGTCACATGGAAAATATTTTCTTTTTAGAAGTGACTGACGGCATTATGTAACTGAAATTATTCTTATTATTATTTGTCAGAATATAAGGGAAATGGTTGACATAAACAAATCAAGACAAGATTGTATGTTTCGCTTATATGTCATGTGTTGTTTCTTGACCAAAATCATATTTTTGTATCTGTGATTTTTGAGAGATTCATGGCACATTGTGTAGTTATGCAAATGAGATGTATATATCCTTGTGCCTTATGACTTGTAATGTGGACAAACCAATCATGTTTGTGTGTCACATTTGTAGTCTAATATTTCAAGATGCTGGAGGCAAAAATGGAAGGTTTTTTTCTTCAATGTGTTATGAGCTGTTGAAAAGATTTAGATTGCCTGAATTAATATAACAATTCGGATATTGTTATTAAATGCTTAACACTTTTGGTTTTCAAAATATCGATTGTCAAATGACTATTTGAATCTGAAGTAATAGCTCATACCACCTTTATCTTAGTATTTGGTAAGCAAAAGTTGTTTTGTAGGTAGTTTTAAAAAAAAGCACTTCCAGATTAGCTCTGGTGCTAATGATTAAAACAACGAATATTTGATTTAAGGATAATTGATTTGGTTTCCTGGTAGAATACATATCTTTAACTTATTCTTTGGTATTTTTGGAAAACTGTTGTGGAAAATTCATGGTTGATGGGGTTGGGGGTAAAATCAACCCAGATATTTCTTTTTCTAATTTAAGGTGTTTGGATTGGGTTGTTAAATCACTTCGGTGCTTAAACCAACTTAACAATATCAGCCAAAACACACTTTCAATCTGAATAATGTTTTGAAAAACATTGTAAACATCATATCATTTGTAATTTTTTTACAACTTTTAACTGAAGAGATAACAATTTTTTGGCCTCCTGCCTTCGTACATTGACAGAGAAGTTTGTAAAACAGGTGATAAGATTGGTCTGTCCACATTTTCAACAATGTTCCTAGGCCTGTTATACTGCTGATTCAACTGGTGTCATGGTCGGTTTGTCTCAGCTGTTTTGTTGTTGTTGCTGGAACAAATGTATGTAATATGATTGTCTTCCATATGATATTTTTTTAACCTGACTCATGTTCATCAAGGCAAAATAGAAGACTATTTTATATATTTTTGTGGGTAATGTTTCATTATGCAGTGTCGATTTAAAGTCAGTGTAATATACTCAAAATGATGACTCACATGAAGAGTATAACTAGGTTGTTTTGCTGATTTCTAATTAAAATCAATAAATGTTTGTTATTTCCAATTATTTTTAGCAAAGTACTTGAATTTAATTCAGTTAAAAAATATGTTTTGCTGTTCAATACTTTTGGTGTTTCTGTTCGTCAGTGTCTCAGCAGTCGATCAAAGTATTGTTTACAATGATAAAAAGAGGGGTACAGGTTTTGTTATGAGTTCAATAAATGTCATTGATATATCCTGACTGACCCTTGGGTTTATTGATGTGTGTAACCACCTGGTGATCAATAAAAGGTTTTTAAAGTATTGTGTTTTTTGTCATATCTTGGAGGGGCTGGGATGGGCTGGGGATTGGTTTTGAATAACTGAGTCATCCAGTTTTTGTTCCTATGCATGTCGGGGGCAGTGGGGTTGCCTAGTGGTTAAAGCAATCGCCTGTCACACCAAGACCTGGGTTCGATTCCCCAGATGGGTTCAATGTGTGAAGCCCATTTCTTGTGTCCCCCTCCATTATATTGCTGGATTATTGCTAAAAGAAGCCTAAAACTAAACTCACTCACTCTTTCACCTATGCATGTCAATATTTGTTTCTGGGTTTCCCCAATGACATAATTATCAATAAACCAATCATATAGGAGGCTGGTCATTTATATTATTTGGTCAGGGAAAAATGTTTTGGAAAGGAAGTCATGAATGGATTGATGCCTCTGTGTGATGGGTTGGGTTCACCCAAGCTTTGTCTCAAGCACATTCCAACTGCAACACCAGACGGATATACAGGTGTCTGAGTCGTCATCAGTCTAAATCGCTGTGAAGATTGCATCCGTTAGTCAAGACAGAAGTCTGGTGATCGTGGGGCCGAATGCTGTTGGCTGTTGCGTAGTTTCTCAGCGCCATATTCCTGCTGAGATGTCTGAAATAATGTCCATCGGTAAACTAAACTCATTCACTCCACAACCAACATTTGGGTGTGAACAATCACAAGTACACAGGTATGTTGGACATGAAAGCTAGACGAGATCTTTGGTTGTCAGAGTGGGGCAAAAACTGTTGGAACAGGAGAGGATGTGATATTTTGCCCTTGAGGTTGACTTACTCCAATACCATTAATTGTCCAGAGTAATTATGCTGGTTGCTACACAGTATTCTTTGTTCTACAGGCTCAATATCTACCACCAGTGTCATGCTCAGTGCTCAAAAACCTTAGGCCATGGCTTACAATACCCCATTGCTTATGATATTCAATGGCACACTCAAACACCTTGTACAACACAGCTGAATACAAGACAACACGTGGGTGTAACTGAGTCGAGTAACAATTTCGAACTTTTCTATGTCTACAAGGTGATGTATAGATGTCAACTTCCTTATAACCAGGAACACAAGTATATTCTAAATCCAAGTTGACATCCATAAATTCTCACCTTTTTGTGTATTACTTATAAATGCCGTCTTCTGGAAATATTCTGAAAATTGATAACCTGTGAGGTTCCGGGTTAGAATATTGATCTTCAGTAACCTATATATATGCTTGTCGTAAGAGGCGACTAACGGTATCGGGTGGTCAATCACTGGATTGTCTGGTGCAGACTCGATTATTTACATATATAGCTGGAATATTGTTGAGTGCGACGTAAAACTAAACTCACTCACTGAAAATTAATGTTCTCTGTCCAGAACAGTGGTGTTTAACAAAGATTTAGAACACTTCCATCTCGGCTATTTGTCTCTGCAGTACTAAATTTGACCAGTGTTTTCCAGTGCTTTCCCGTATTTTCTGAAACTTTCCAGGAACTATAAATTCAAACCATACCTGCACACTCATGCATACTCTTTGATATAAATTCACACTTACAAAGTATGTGGTTTGTCAATCCACTTTAATACATTCCAAAGTTTTCCAGTAAGTGTCATTCAAGGAGTTTAAATTCAAAACCTTGGCTACACACTCACGTATATTCTCAGATATAATATAATCACACAGACTGTATACAAAATTGGAATCCGACATTTATGTGACTTCCAATGTCATTCCACACTATGAACCCATGAAGATCCGGGTTAGAATTGGTCTTCAGCAACCCATGTTTGTCATAAGAGGCGACTACCAGGATCGGGTGGTCAGGCTCGCTGACTTGGTCGACACATGTCATCGTATCCCAGCTGCGTAGATCGTGCTCATGATGTTGATCACTGGATGGTCTTGTCCAGATTCGATTAGTTACAAATCGCTTACATATAGCTATATTGCTGAGTGCGGCGTAAAACAAGAAGCAAACATATATATATTTGCGACCATGTTGATAGTAAAGGGAGTCAGGTGACGAACCGCCTTGGCAATGAATTGTGATTAAATATTTGAATATGTAACTGCGGCCGACGCCGTTCTCCTTATTCACATTTGTGCATGTAACTCTCGCCAAGACGACCCTGGGGATTAGACCACAATAAATACAGGTCAGGTTATGATGCGAGAGATAAAAGCAAATACTCTCCAGTATCACTGATGATCCTGTATCTGTCAAACTCGTGTCAAAGACTTCCTGCTCCGTTTGGTTGCCATCATGAAACATAACGCCTCCGCTGGAATATTGTTCAAAGCAGCGTCACTCTCCAGCTCACTCAACCAACCATGTATAATATTTTAACACAAAGAGCATTTCTTGCTAATATCTGTCACATAAATAAATTCCATAAAAAAAAAGATCTGAACAGTGACGAAATCAATAGCTAAAATGGTACAGCAATGCATTTAAAAAATACCAGGCGTTGTTCAACCTGTAGTAGACTTACGCTTTGCTTCTGAAAAAAACAACCCAGAATTATGACAGAAACAAATAGCTCCATTTAAACTGAAAAGGAGCCTAAATGAGCTCATAGATTCCTGAACCTAATGAAATATAGATTTAGTTCATCGAAAACCTTTGCACCGGAGAAACGGTTGCACAGAAGGGAAAATGTGGTTCAGGGACTGTGAGAAAACTACACATGCAGTGTCAAAGTCTGGTGTCCCCGCAGTGATGGTGCTGGAATGTCCTAAAGGGTGGCGTATGTTGTGACCTTAAAGCTAGCGTAAAACCTCTAACTCACTCACTACCAAAAACAATGACAAGGTTTCCAATCCGATTAGTCGAAATAACACAACTATTCCTCGTTTTAAAGGCTTTCAGATACCCTCATATTGGTTACATATGTGTCTGTATGTTTGTATACACATGAACAAAACGTATAGCAACACCCCATACATTGCAAAGTATTAATATGTTACCATTAACCACAGCAAAGGAACTTATTCAAAGCTCAATTTAGTTTACTTTCGTGAGAAACTGGTTCTCAGGAAATGATAAAAAATATTTTAAAAATTGAACTTGAGCAGGTATCCCACTTTCTCGGAACATTCAGACAAAAATAGTACACACATGTGGTGAAACTTCATCTTGGGTAACAGAAATCTAATAAAAGTTCGAAAATCCTTTTTCCGACATGATCCAAATGCTCTGATATAAATGTATTAATTATTTCAGATTTTCAAAACATGTAAGTGTGTGAAATTAGTTGAGCTAGTTGTCAAACACAGAACATATTGTTTTCATCTCAACACATCAAAATTGTACAAACGGATAACATTGGACAAGTAACCAAGAACTTCAGACTGTAGAGGGCGTGGTTTTCAGTGACCTCTGAACCCGGAAGCTTATCCATCGGAAGTGATGTCCTTGACAACCAAGGGCGCGCGCTATTTGGAAACACGTCTGTCAAGATAGAGGCGTGTGATTTCGTTGATTTCTGATGTAATCTTCATTTACAAGATCCTGATAGTCGTGAACAGTAAGTTAAAGCCTTAGCATGTGTTGACCGTGCCTTTATTTTAGCGGAAACTATTTTTCCTAAGTCTTAAATGCTTTTTATTTGGTCAGGCTCATCTGACTGATGACAGTCAGACAGAACAATTTTGGCTAAGTTCATCTTTGAAAGATGTTGTCGCTCATCCAATGACATACGGGTGATAAAAATTGATGCAGAAACAGGTTGGCGATATAGTTTTAGTTAAAGTACTGTATTTAGAAACAAATTTTAACTTGGGCTAGGGTAAGAAACCTTGGTTCCTGGGTCTGATAGGTCCAGAGTTGTGTTGCACCCATGGTTAGTCATTTACACTTCATGTTATCTTCGTTTCGTATTTCTATCTGATTATGAATGCATTCCTTCTAAAATACATGTTTGAGTAAAGATACAGCTTCAGTCAACTCTATTGTATGAATGTCATTGAATAATCATATTTATTCATATATTATATGTAAATACTACCAGTAAATAGTTTTTGTCAGGACTGTACTGACTTGGGCATTTTGTCCTCAGCTGTCCCTCTCCCAGAGACCTGTACTGGCAACTGGTGTAGGGTCAGGTGACTGGGGGTCGGTACCAGGGTGGTAAACTTGGATTCATCCCAGCCCTAGTTTTTACCAACAAGAAAAAGACTTATTGTGATCATGATACAGCGTTTCACTGGCTATATGAAAACTGGAATCACCATGACTCTGTCCGTGGATATTCTTTTGCGAGTTAGTTCAACCTTTGGTCTTGAAGATTTTTCCAACATGAATAAAACTCTGGACATCTTGTTCAGTGAAACTAGTGAATTTGTAAAGAGAATTTCTCTGACAGTTCCTTATTTTGGGGGGAATTGCCAGGCCTACTATCTGATAACAAGTATGTTTCTAAGTGTTTGAATGGGAGTCCTGGGGTTTGAAATTTAAAGGAACTGATTGGCCTGCTCTCAGTAATAGAATATCTTGCTAAAAGTATGACCATGAGTAGCCAAGAGCTCTAATTTTTAAGGCGCTGGGAGTCAACTGTCTGATAAAAAATATGTTGCTTAAAGCCTGACCAGAAGTAGCCTGGGGCTAATTTGAGAAGGGATTTGTGTGTCATGTGAAACCATTACACATGATTGGCAAATGATGTTATAAAAACTGTTGTAAATGATTGAGGCTCTTGTGCTTGTTAATATTCTTTTAATTAGTTCTAATAATTCAGAGGGAATACCATCAAGAGGTGAAATGATACATTCATGCATTGTGTGTTCATGTGATAATATGATACATGATATGTTAATTTTGTATTGATACAAGGTGATACATTTGTTGAAATAGCTTACGTGCTAATCTTTCAATGACTCTCCAGTGGTTTTGTTTATCACATATTGAAAAAAGTGTTGTCATTGTCGTTTCAAGCTGCCTGCTTAAAATAGTCACTATAGACATGTTTCCACAGGCAGGTTTTCCTGTTGAACCAACTCTGAAATATATATAGCCAAGATGTTTTCATACAATGTGACATAATTATGGTCATCTTGTGTCGTGACCTTGCTGCATCGTTTCACCCCTAATGCCATCTTTCACCACTTTTGCCAAACTCTCACTCTTTTGTGATGCAATAAACCTCATGAATTTTCTTTTTCATTACAGATCATAATGCGTCGCTCAAAACAGCCGCCACGAAGAATATATCCATTAAAGGGCACAAGTCCGTCTTTGGACACTGAGAAGGCAGACAAATCTCATCGATTACAGCTGCCACCAATTAAAGACACTTTTCTTGTGTCTCCACCTCCTGGCAGACTAGAGCGTCCTCAGTTTGGAAGACGAGCATACAGGCCTGCAAATGGGACAGTGGATTCTCTAGGTGAATTCTCTAATTGTCAATAATAGATTTAAGTTTGAACCCAAGTTAACAACCCTGGGAACTTAATTTAGATTTCAAATTCACAAAATACAAACACTGATGTTCTTCTTACACATAAAATTTAAATATGTCATTATTATATTATGAGGATATATTTTTTTGGAGCCATCTTGCTTGAGTTGCCCTTATTGTATGAGGTGTTTCAGGTTACAGTTTCATCCTATGTATTTTGTTTTGTAGTCATGATATGATATGGTGCTCATGCCATTGATCACTGGATTGTCTGGTCCAGACTGAATTATCTACAAAGCACCATATATAGCTGAGATACTGTTGTCTGCAACATTTAACAACAAACAAACAACAATCTGTTCATATAATGTATTTTTCCTTAACCAATGGCCCAGTTTCAGTCCAATGACTATCAGCGTAATAGGCTTATCTAAAAAAGTCAACATATATAATATATAATATTCTACTGTTGATAATGGCAGGGGACAGGTTTAGGCAAGTAGATTATAATTTGGGGTTTGATGGGCACAGTTAGACTAACGTCTTGTTTCCGAAATGAACATATTTACAGAAAAAATGGTACCTAAATTATTTTCAGTGAATGTAATGAAAAGGAGCCAAGAGACCTTCTTCAAGACTTGCATGGGATGATCCGGATCTCTTGGATATATTTGTTGCAGGGTCTGTTTGACGGTACATGCTGTTCTTTATGCTCAAAGATCATCTCTCAACACCATGGTGATGTTTTGTTTTTTGTTTTCATCAGGCCTTCATCCTAGCAAATCTCAGAGCCAAGCCACAGTAGCTGCTGCAAGCAGACTTACATCACAGACCCCCACCCCCTGGGGTACAGAGGAGCCATACCGCGGCTACAAGGACTACCTTGTTCAGAAGTCCTCCACAAACATCAGTGCTAAAGTCCAACTGCCAGAAAGAATGGACAATAGGTGCCAGCTGACCCGCGGCTGTCTTCGAATCCGGCCAGCAAACACTGATCTGCTGATCCTCAGTAAGTCTCTCCATGTGTGTATTGTGAAATGGTGGGGTGGGGATTGATATGTGTTAGAATGTGTCCACAGGACTCCACAAATCTCCATAGCACTCCACCATGCTTCACAATGTTCCAGAATATCCACAGCTCTCCACATCACTCCACAACCCACAGCTCTCCCCAGCACTCTCCCATTTCTCCACACCTCTCCACAACACACCACAGACCTACACATCTCTGCTCAGCTGTCCACAGCACCCCACAGCACTCCACAGCTCTTCCCAGCTCTCCACAACACTCTCCAGTACACTACAGACCTCAACAGCACTTCACAGCACCTCACAGCATTCCACAGCCCTCGACATCTCTCCACAACACTCCGCAGCATTCCACAGCTCTTCCCAGCACCGCACAGCACTCCCCAGCTCTTCCCAGCTCTCCACAACCCTCTCCAGTACACTACAGATTTCCACAGCACTTCACAGCATTCCACAGCCCTCCACATCTCTCCACAACACTCCGCAGCATTCCACAGCCCTCCACAGCTCTCCACAACACTCCACAACACCCCATAGCATTCCACAGCTCTCCAATCCACAACACTCCACAGCATTCCACAGCCCTACACAGCTCCCAACAGCCCTCCACAGCTCTCCACATCTCTTCACAGCTCTCCACATCTCTTCACAGCTCTCCACAGCTCTCCACAACGCTCCACAGCACTCCACAGCCCTTCACATCTCTCCACAGCATTCCACAGCTCCACAACGCTCCACAGCACTCCACAGCATTCCACAGCCCTCCACATCTCTCCACAACACTCCACAGCTCTCCACAACGCTCCACAGCACTCCACAGCACTCCACAGCATTCCACAGCCCTTCACATCTCTCCACAGCATTCCACAGCTCTCCACAACATTCAACAGCCCTCCACATCTCTCCACAACACTCCACGACACCCCACAACATTCCACAGCCCTCCACAGCTCTCCACTCCACAACGCTCCACAGCCCTCCACTGCTCTCCATATCTCACAACACTCCACAGCTCTCCACAGCCCTCCACATCTCTCCACAGCCCTCCACAGCTCTCCACATCTCTTCACAACTCTCCACAGCTCTCTACATCTCTTCACATCTCTTCACAGCCCTTCACAGCTCTCCACATCTCTTCACAACTCTCCACAGCTCTCTACATCTCTTCACATCTCCTCACAGCCCTCCACAACACTCCACAGCCCTCCACAGCTTTCCACATCTTTTCACAGCCCTCCACAGCTCTCCATATCTCACCACAACACTCGACAGCATTCCACAGCCCTCCACAGCTCTCCACATCTCTCCACAGCCCTCCACAGCTCTCCACATCTCTTCACAACTCTTCACAACTCTCCACAGCTCTCTACATCTCTTCACATCTCTCCACAGCCCTCCACAAAACTCCACAGCCCTCCACATCTCTTCACAGCCCTCCACAGCCCTCCACAGCTGTCCACATCTTTTCACAGCCCTCCACAGCTCTCCACAGCTCTCTACATCTCTTCACAGCCCTCCACAGCCCTCCACATCTCTTCACAGCCCTCCACAGCTCTCCACATCTCTTCACAGTCCTCCACAGCTCTCCACATCTCTTCACAGCCCTCCACAGCCCTCTCCACATCTCTTCACAGCCCTCCACAGCCCTCCACATCTCTTTTCACAGCCCTCCACAGCCCTCCACATCTCTTCACAGCCCCCTCCACAGCTCCTCCACATCTCTTCACAGTCCTCCACAGCTCTCCACATCTCTTCACAGTCCTCCACAGCCCTCCACATCTCTTCACAGCCCTCCACAGCCCTCCACATCTCTTCACAGCCCTCCACAGCCCTCCACATCTCTTCACAGCCCTCCACAGCTCTCCACATCTCTTCACAGTCCTCCACAGCTCTCCACATCTCTTCACAGCCCTCCACAGCCCTCCACAGCTCTTCACAGCCCTCCACAGCTCTCCACATCTCTCCACAGCCCTCTACAGCTCTCCACAGCTCTCCACATCTCTTCACAACTCTCCAAAGCTCTCCACAGCTCTCCACATCTCTTCACAGCCCTCCACAGCCCTCCACAGCCCTCCACAGCTCTTCACAGCCCTCCACAGCCCTCCACAGCTCTTCACAGTCCTCCACAACACTCCACAACACTCCACAGCCCTCCACATCTCTTCACAGCCCTCCACAGCCCTCCACATCTCTTCACAGCCCTCCACAGCTCTCCACATCTCTTCACAACTCGTCACCACTAGTTGATAATCATTAGTTGCTGTGGCTTGGTGACTTGATTGATGTACAGTGTTAGCGTATCCACATACCATAGTATCCTGATGTAACATCAATCACTGGATTGTCTGGTTCTGAGATTGTTATTATTTTTCCTTATCCTGACTCATGCTTATTGCTTGTCTTCTTCTTCTGGCGAACCTAGTGGAACACTTGTATCTCCCAATTGAAGTTCCCTTCAATAAAAAATCACTCATTAGTACTGACCACGAGTTACCTCCCTTCCACAAGCGCGGGAGCGAGGGCGCCACCCGAACCCATGTGCCTCACTCTCTCCTTCTTCGCCCAGTGAGCTGGTCGTGAGAGCGCCTGTGTCTCCCAACACACTATATCCTTTTAGTTTAGTACCTCTTATACTTAGTATAGAGGTGTAACTAGTATCCTTATTCAACTTGCATTGATTATTAATGGTGTTTCTGCTGTTTATTCACGGTTCGCCGTGATTGTTCAGTAGTTTACGTTAATGAGAATCTGCACAGGTTGTAAACTACGTTATTCAGCTACCGATCCACATTTAAAATGCCCTAGTTGCATTACTCCATGTTATTTTGTTTCTCGTTGTAAATTATGTATTAATTTACCAATTTCTGCCTTTGATAAATATTTATGTTCCGTTTTTAGACGGAAGGCAGATAAATCTTGCAAACAATCTTCAGTCATGGCTATTAGATCAGAAGCTAATATTCCCTGTCAATGTTGACTGACGACCCGCCACCAGCTGGTGGCATGTCTGAGTTCCCTCAGAGAATAGCGTGGGACGCAGTCCGCTATGTCCAAACAGCGACCTGCATCTCAAGACCTGCCGTCTTCTCAGTCTAAGACTAGGAAAACGTCCATATCATCACATACGTTTCGAACCCTAGGTCTACAGCTACGTCAAAAGGGAAATCTACAAAATCTAATAATTTTGCCTCCGATGGTTTACCTATCACAGAATTATCTTTATATGATGATGACATTCCGATTATCATTCCAGATGCTCGTCATAAGAAACGACTTGTTTCTGCGACTGTTACCTCAGCGCAGATTAGCACACAACCGGAGATGCCGACACTATCACCAAAAATTTATCTGAGGGTCCGTCACCTCTGCAGAGACATCCCTCATCAAGCATGACCGCTTCAGGCGACTTGATCAACCAGATAATGAGGGTGATGGAAGACCGCTACGGCTTACAGAGGCCTCAGAGCCACGGGCCTCAGAGCCCACCCCATATCAAGTCATACAGGGCCTCAGAGCCCGCCTTGGCTTCGCGTAGGGCCTCTGAGCCCATAGACGCGCCTCCGCGAAGGGCAACCCTGCCCGGAGTGAGCTCTTTGCATAAGGTATCCCAGGCTGCCTCCATGAAGGAGCTAGAGCCTCACCTTTTGCAAGAGGCTTCGCGAGAGGAAGGAGCGCTTCGCCGAGCACGCACCTTGTCATGCACGAAGAGGCGTTCGCGAAGCAAAGCTCATATGTCGATCATGGGACACTGACTCGATACATTCGCGAAGGTCGCAAAGGCTAAGTGGCTCCAGTTCTTCATCGCCTAGAAGATCTACATCGCCTAGAAGAGCTTCGTGAAGCCCCCAGCGTTCGCGAAGCCCCCAACGTTCGGAAGATATAGTAGAGTTCGCGAAGTCCCCAGCGTTCGCGGAGGGCGTCTCCTCCAAGGTCTCCTTACACTAGCCACTCGTCAGTCCGTTCTCCACAGTCCTCTCATAGATCTTCCTATAGATCTAGGACTCCGACATGTGACCCTACGTCAAAAGAGGAGGAAAGTATCATTTTCTCAGATGCTGAGATTAGATACTGGATGGTGAATGAGTTACAACGTGTTTTTTTCATCAAAGAACGAGAATTGAACTCAGACTTACGTCATGAAGAATGATGATGTAGACTATTTCACCTTACCTCCTATTGATCCGATTGCAGCGGTACCAGCTAATCTGGATACAGCCTGCTCCAAATCTTTGGAAGCCCATACGCAGATCTGCAGACAATTCTATTACGGAATGGAACAGCAACCTTGTTACAGCGAATAAAACTCATATCGTCAACGATTTCTGAGAAGAAATATGTACAACAAGTTCAGCTTTAATTCTACAATTATGACGATACATTCATGTATACAGTCTACAAGTTGAATTATCTTTAAGACTGAAGTTACTTTCACGACAGCCAGGGAAATAACCTACCCAGCATTAATATTACAGAGCGAGGTATTTCGCGCCGGAGGTTTCGCGCGTTTACCATTAACCCTCGGAACACGTGGTTACTCGGGTAACTCCGGGAAGCTACGGTGAAGACCGACGATTGTTCTAATATCAACGACGGCACTATATTATACAAGGTTCCTTTTCCTGCTACACCGGTGACATCACAGCGCGGGTACTCTACAGAATCAAAATGCCTTGTTCTGATTGGACCGCGATGGACAACGCCCTACACAAAGGTCGAGCATAGTTCACAGTTCAAGACTTAGGTTGCAAGTGACAACATTATCTCAGTGAGCAGCGTCAAGGACTTCGCAGCAAATTTTCCTCGACGACGGTATACAAGTGGATCCAAATCCACAGCGTCTCAGACTACAGTTGAATTTCATCATCAAGACCAAGAGATTGAATGTTTGCACAAGCGTCTCCTTAGTAGAGCCGGAATCGAAAACACGTCTGTACGTAGACGCGTCACTACAAGGTTGGGGAGCCCACCTTACCGGCAGGACAGCCTCAGGTCTATGGAGCAATCAAGAGAGCAAATGTTACATAATCTGCTAGAGATGCAAGCAGTTATAAACGCCATAAGTCACTGGAGCAACCTACTACAGAACGCTCAGATAATGGTTCACACAGACAATTCAACACTGGCGTTTTTTTATGTGAACAAACAAGGTTCAACTAGGTCACAGAACCTACTGACTCGAAGTTTCAGACTGTTCGATCGAATCGACAATCTAAACATACACGTCAGTACTTGCCACAGGAGCATAGAATGTATTAGCAGACGCTCTCTCTGGGCTACACCTACCGTCGCCGACAGAATGGATGCTCCACACACAGGGAAATAGGATCTCCTCTGATAGACCTATTCACCACTCGGTTCAACAAGCAACTGACAACATTCTTATCGCCAGTGCCAGACCCACTAGCATGGGCAACGGACGCACTAAGCAAGTCTTACAGAAAATCAGTCAAATGCAGAGCCTCCATCTGATTTGGTCATGCCCTACTGGCTAGCGAGAACTTGGTTTCCAGATGTCACACAAGAAATTGGAAAACTAATTCTTCAGCTCCCACAACGCTCCAATCTATTGAGGGGCGGTGGGGTAGCCCAGTGGTTAAAGCGTTGACTCGTCACGCCGAAGACCCGGGTTCGAATCCCCACATGGGTACAATGTGTCAAGCCCATTTCTGGTGTCCCCCGCCGTGATGTTGCTGGAATATTGCTAAAAGAGGCGTAAAACCAAACTCAGTCAGTCAGTCCAATCTATTGATACATCTGCACACCAAACAAGTGCACGATACACCAGAAGCATTCCAACTTCACGTATGGATTGTATCAAGGCATGTCTGAATAAGAGGTTATTCTGCCAGAGCGGCTACAGCGGTCACGCTTGCACGACGTAACTCGACTCGTAACTTATACGATGACAAATGGCACAGTTTGTCAATTACGCTGCTAAGAAAGGATTTACAGCCAGATATGCTACACATCCTCAAGTGGCAGATTTCTTATGTTATCTACGTTAAACTAAGAATCTAAAAGGCTCAACCTTGTCCATTTATCTGGCAGCTATAAGTTCAGTCATACTATAAGAGCGGGCATCAAGTTGACAAAACGCCAGAGTTACTCGGTTTGTTACAAGCGTCCCGATTTGAGGATTAGAAACGGAAGTTTCACGCTCCAGCTTGGGATCTAATATAATGCTCCAACACCTCACTAGTGAGGTTTTTTGAACCATCGCTATCTACATCGTTTGAATCACTGACCCACAAAACCTTGATCCTGTTAGCACTAGCTACGGCCACCAGGATGTCAGATTCACGCACTGGATTACGAGAGAACACGCTTTGATGATTTTCATAACATAGCTCATCTGGGACTTCGCTCGGATTTTATAGGGAAAACCAACTGCCAGGTCAACCAGACAGATTATTCCACGTCCCAGCTCTCTCATCCATACTTGGACCGCATGATACGATGGATCTGTCACTATGCCCAGTTCGTACACTGAAAATATATCTCCAACGATCCAAATAGAGCAGGGGATATTCAAGAGATTATTTATCCCTATATCTACAGCTACGCAGACGGAAGTCTTACGTACTACTATCTCTATTTGGATCAGAACTGTCATACTACGTGCCTACAAGGCTGTTGGACGCGACCCTCCAAGAGCTTCTAATCCTCACGAAATTAGAGCGCTAGCCTCAACTCTCGCTCTACATGGGAATTGTTCGTTGAATACCATAATGGAGGGATGTTTCTGGAGATCCGATATGGTGTTTGCCAACCACTATCTGAGAGATATCACCACCAAGGAAGTCTCAGGTATCCACCGTTTCGGTCCCATGGTCCTCGCTCAACAGTTGACAGTTCCACGGAGAAGATAAGTCTATCTTACAGATTTTATACTTATCGGATGACAGTACTAATAGATACATGCTATCTATATATTTTGCTTAAGTTTAATTTATTATCTTAAGCTCAGTACTATGGTGTTTATATCATACTATATATAAGCTAACAAACTCTACAGAGTTTTTGCTATTATATATGTAGCTTAAGTTTATTCATATCTTAAGCTCAGTACTACGTTTATATCATATAAGTATATTAGCTAACAAACTCTCAAGAGTTTTTGCTATTATATATTTTGCTTAAGTTTCATCATATCTTAAGCATTATGGTTACATTATAACATGTATTAGCTAACAAACTCTACGGAGTTTTTGGCTATTATATATGTAGCTTAAGTTAATTCATATCTTAAGCTCAGTACTATGTTTATATCATAAGTATATTAGCTAACAAACTCTAAAGAGTTTTTTGCTATTTTATATTTAGCTTAAGTTTATTCATATCTTAAGCATTATGGTTACATTATAAAATGTATTAGCTAACAAACTCTACGGAGTTTTTTGCTATTATATATGTAGCTTAAGTTTATTCATATCTTAAGCTCAGTGCTATATTATATCATATAAGTATCTTAGCTAACAAACTCTAAAGAGTTTTTAGCTATTATATATTTTGCTTAAGTTTCATCATATCTTAAGCATTATGGTTACATTATAAAATGTTTTAGCTAACAAACTCTACGGAGTTGTTTTGGCTATTTAGGTAGCTCAAGTTAATTATATCTTAAGCACAGTACTATACTCATATCATAAAGTATATTACCTAATAAACTCTAGGGAGTCTTTTGCTGTTATACGGTACTGTGATTCTATATCATACTATATATATGCCTACAACTCTTAGGAGTTCTACTATTATATGTATGTTCAGCTTAAGTTTCAATCCTTAAAGGTCACATAAACCCTAGGGGGTACATATACATAAATCACTAACTGGCTTTGTTATAAATGAAACCCTGTCATTAAAACTACTTATTTCGACCTTTAATTGACTTAAATCGACCTTTTTGACAACAGTGCACAATTCTCACCCGCGAACGAAATTTCAACCAATCAGAGCGGCGCGCCTCTGTGACGTCATATGAGGAATAGCTTTGAGGGCCGATGCAGAATTCATCTACATTTTAGGGGTTAAATTATCTTGTTTACAGGCTTGTATAAACCTGAAATCGTGACAATTGTTGTTGAAAATGAAAGCTATATGTTCTCACAATCTACTGTCATTTAATTTTGTCTCCTGCTTTGCCTAGTTTCCGAGTTACAACTTGTTTTCATAGACGATTCTGTCAAAATCGATTGGTGTCGTTAGGGCCCTATTTGTATAATGACTGATCCAAATTGATCCCATTTCTGTGTTTTTTACCTCGATATTTAATCATGTTATGTAAAAATCTGTTTGTATTCTCAAAACAGTGTCGGCCCATAAGTTTTCACATGCAATACAGCAATTAATACTCCCTTGTTGTAACCCGTGTTAGGTGGTATAAACCTACACATGTTATTTGTCATCATTCACTTGATGGTCAATTAATGAATTTATAACAGGTATAATTAGTGGTAACACACTTAGATTACCCGACAAAGGTTCCCATTTGGCATTTCTTGTGTCTGGAGTAAATATTCAACATTATAAACATCGATCAAAGGATTAACCGATAACACGCTGATTGATTAATTACTTTTATCTTACACAGCGGAATTGTCAAAAGGTAGTGTTTATGTATGTAGATTTACTAATCTATACTGAATACACTCTGTCGTGACGGTGTCTGCGTAAAAACAACGTCCTTCTTTCAAAGGATTAACCGGCAATACATTGATTGATTGCCCATTATTGGCTAACTAAATTACTGTTTTTAAAGAAAGGCGGACATTATCAGTGTTCACGAAAAGCATCGGTCCGTCGGACATTTCCGATGGAAGTTACGATGGTCCGATGCATATTGTAGAACTGTCGGTCCTTGTGTCCGACAGGATATTACATCAATGAAATGTCTTGCATTAATATGTTTTCATCAATAAATAAAATAAAACATGACGGCTTTTGTTGTTTTTCATGGAATATTAAGTGGAACACGTTTGATGCTATTTTTATCGATCGATCAAGGTCAGCTAGCAAGGTTATGTACTGTTTAATGTATCGTGCAATCCGATTGGCTGTTTTCACGACAGCTTCTTTTCAACAACCAATCAGGTTCCACGATACGGAAAGTTTAGGTTAGATACTGTCACAACAAGAATGGCGGGTTTTCCGTAACTTTGCGATTCACGACGTGTCACTACATAAATAGAAGGGACATGTTGAATTTTCTCAAATATTATGATGGTGCTAGGCCTTCAAAGGCCCCTGCAAAGAAGCGTCTACCTACTGATGAACTTAAATCATCAGAGAAACGGTCGAGTTATGAACGACCGGACGTTCGTTCAATCCGTCATGGCAAAACGGGAGAAGTTGGCTAACATTTGCCGATGGTAAAATGACTTGCAACATTTGTGTTAACTATAATGCAAGCAAGAATTCAGCTAGGCCTAGTTCTGATCAGAATTTTATTTCTGGGTCAAGAAACTTCAAGAAATCGACTGTGACCGATCACGAACTGAGTAGAATTCACATTCGTTCAGTTGAATTATTCAAAGCCGAGACTAGTTCCAGTGATGAAATAGCGTTTTCAAAGGCAGGGAGAGCTCTACAGAAATTAAAAAGTGCTGACAAAACAAAAATGACTTTTCTATTTAGAAATGCACATGCTGTTGCAGTGAAAAATAGACCCCTTTCCGATTTTAAATGGTTGTGCGAACTGGACAAAGTTAAATCTTTAGAAGTTGGAGACACATACCTTAATGATAGGGCAGCTTTGAATTTTATTCAGGCTATAGCTGCTACACAACATGATGAAGTCATTAACAACTTGGAACATGCACCTTTTTTTTCCTTCATAATGGATGGGAGCACAGACATAAGTGGCGATGAACAAGAGTCCATGTATGTCAGATCATGTCACAAAGGTGTTGTCACAGAGAATTTTCTCAATATAGGAAGTCCAAGAAGCACATGTTCATCGGATTTGTACTTTTATGTCACAAACATCTTGGAGTCTACTGGCCTACACAGCTTTGCAAAAGGTAATTAAAAGCTATCATCTTAATGAATGTATCCCAACAGCACATAATACCATATTACATCTTTTTTTTATATCACTGAAAATAATAATTATTTTCACCTAACATGCATACAATTATATTCGACTGAATAAAATAATAGACCACTGTGGATATAACCAGTAACAGAAAATGGACTCAATGTTGAAAGATATAATTAAGCTATTGAGAGAGGGATGTCAAATTACAACTTTCCAAAATTTATTTTCAAATGTTATGGAACTTTTTGGAATATTTTTAGCTTCCCTTTGTTTGTACATTTTCAGTTTCAAATTTGATAGACAATTTAGTAGTTACATATAACAATAACCTTGCTCCAAGTGATGCCTATATAGTTTTCAAGAAAATCATTTGTACACAATGTGTATTTCAGATAAGCTAGTTGGAATGGGAAGTGATGGTGCATCGAACATGATTGGTTCCAAAACAGGTCTGGCAACACGTCTAAAAGAGGACTTTCCAGAGATGGTTTCTGTTCACTGCCTATGCCACCGACTCGAGTTGGCCTTCAGGGATGTGTTCAGGAAGGCAGCACTCTATGATAAGTGCATGACTTTACTCATAGGTCTTCATTACTTCTACCTGAAACCAAAGCAGAAGACAGGACTTGTCCACACCATGAAGTCCTTAGGTATTAATGGACTTCTTCCTCCTAAAGTGACTGGTACCAGATGGCTGCCCCACCTCTCACGTGGCTTGACTGCATTTTTCCGGTCATATCCTGCATTGGAGGCCCACCTGTCAACAGCTAGTCACGGCAATGCTAAGGCTGAAGGCTTAGCGAAGATGGTCCTGGACAGACATCTGGTAGCTTTCATGCTCTTCCTTCAGGTATGATTTTGTTTTAAATATATGTTTTTATTCAAATAATTGTGAAACATTGCATTTCCACAATACATCAAACTGCATAAAAAGTTAATATTTCAAGAAATCGTTAAATCATTGGGTGCATTAATTAACATTACATTTTTCAGAATCTCCTTGTGCCCCTCCAGAAACTCTCACTGCAACTACAGAGGAACAATGCTACTCTCTCTGATGTCCTACTTTGGACTGAGGCTACTACGGAGATGCTTCAAGATTGCAAAGAAAGGTACTTTTATAATTTGTTCATAACATATAACCTGCTGAATTACTTTAGTGGCCCAATTTCATTATTTCTACCTATATATTATTTTCATATTAAGCTGTTTTTTATTCTGTCAATTAAACAAAGAAAATAAAGGATATTAAGTAAAATTTTCTTGGTACAGTTCAATCATAAGGCATCTGTATCATGATTCATTATGTTTGCATTTCAGCCAGTGCAAGGATCTTCACAAAGTTTTGGAACAAGGAACGTATCAGGATGTGAAGTTGAAAGGTAGCTGTCCAGCCATGACCTACAAGTCTGTTTTAGTAGACAAGACTATGAAGGCCATAGAGGAGAGGTTCGCCATGCAGCACTCTGAATCAGCGGATATATTTGCTGCCACAAAGATTGCTTGTCTGCGGTCATGGCCATCCGTTGAAGATTCGCAAGGCAAGATAAATTTGATAATGGAATTTACTCACAACAAGCATTGTCACTAAGGTGACATAATCCCCCGCCGCAAATGATCAAATCAAACTTAAAAAGTAATGATCTATCTTATGAAACACATCAAATTTAAAATGAAAATGATCAATTTCAGAGTTTGGTGACAGTGATATCTGTGTCATATTCCGGCAATTCAGCAACACTCTAACCAAGGCTGGAATAACAAAGGACGTTGTTGATCAAGAATGGAGACTGATGAAGAAAATACTTTACAAAAGGTAAGTATATTTAACAGATGTTGAACGTAAGCAATTCCTCTTTTTAGAAAGTTGTGTCTATGGAAACATTTTGTAAGCATACTGGGTGTCTAACTGTTAGCTATATTGTGTACTCCAAAGAGAGTTTAGGAAAAGCATATTGTCATTTGAATTGATACCTTAAAATACTGATAAAGACATATAGAATGAAGTACAACATAATAAGGCTCGTTTGAAAGTTACTTTAATTGCTAAGATTGTGGTCGTCTTATTCCATTACATTTGTTTTAGATTTGGATCAAACCTCCCACATCAGAAGTGGGCTGATATTCACCGACAGCATGCAGAGCAGTTTCCTGAACTCCTGGTCTTGATGGACCTGCTGCACAGTCTTCCACCAACATCAGTTTCATGTGAGACTTCCTTCTCGCAGATGAAGCTGATCAAGACCAGCAGGAGATGTAGGATGAGATCATCGACACTCAACACTCTGATGACTGTGAAGCTACAAGCCCCCTCAATTACAGACTTTGATCCTGAGAAGGCCATTGACAGGTGGTTGGTACGTATATCTTGTTCAATTTGTCAACATTTTTGTCTGGTACTGTATTTGAGTTCGTGTTTGGGTTGACTGAATGCTTATCTAAATTCAGGTAACACCTACACGGGCTAGGTCTCTTAACTACAACAGAGGCAAGCACAACCAATCAGCTGTCAAGACATCTGAAGTCATCTGTGTAGTGGAGGAGAAAGATGTGGAAGATGCTGAGGAGCAGGAGGAGGAAGAATCAGACATTGAAGAGGAGATCGCTGTCTTCAACAAAGCCATCGATCCCGATGAAGACAGCGATTACTGTTCGGATTTCGTTGATGAAGAACAGACATTTGCTAAAATCATGAACTATTATTGAGATGCTGAGGAGCAGGAGGAGGAAGAAGAGTCAGACATTGAAGAGGAGATCGCTGTCTTCAACAAAACCATCGATCCCGATGAAGACAGCGATTACTGTTCGGATTTCGTGGATGAAGAACAGACATTTGCTAAAATCATAAACTATTATTGAGATTGCTATTTGATAAATGAAACAGTACATTGTAAATTTAATGTGCACTAAAGTGTATTGTTATGGAGGGTGGTTATCTTTTAATTTTGTTGCTAATATTTACCATTTACTGCGCTCAGATATTGATGTTGTGTATTTAATTTGGGTCCTGTGAATTTTCAGTGGGTCAGACAGATTTCTGAGAGTCACAGGACCCATGTCCTGCAGGACTACAAACTATTTCGTAAACACTGCATTATGCAATTAGTTGCCAGGTGTGCTATCTTGGGTGACCAATGAGACTATACACCAATACCTGAAAAGATTTATCACTTTTTCGTATATTAAACTGTTAAAAGACACATCATTTGGAACAGTTTTGTGGATATTGATGGATACATTTCTCGAACAAGGTAATGGCCTGATATTGTTCCTATAACTTTAATCTGTTTTAATTTTAATATTTGCATTTTGTTTTTATTCATTTGTCGTAGCATTCAACAGAATCATTTTTTTCGCCATGAAGTGTAATGAGACAGACAACATGCACTAGGTGTGTGTAATGCGAATTATGATTCACATTGGCAAACTATAAAATGTCTAGATATTACAGTTCTGTTATAAATTCACTATAAGTATCAGCAGATCGTCTGCTTTTATTTAGTTTCAAAATGCATACAAGTATGATAATAAACTAATTAGGATTATAAGACCAAATATAAAGACGCACATTGACTAGTATCTACATACTGGTGAGTGGACATTAACCATGTGAATGTAGCAAGAAATTTATCGCACAGTATTGTGACTTCGACCCCCACCTCGCTTCCGTGGAAGAAATCGTTATGTTATAAGTTGTGTCATGCAAAATCCGTTTGGTTATGATTCCAATACATATTTAACTACGAGTAGAAAGTAGTCTTGATTTTCTAACTTGATGAAAACAAACTATAATCTCATTAATTCTAACAGATTTTTTTATTTTTGAAAATGGCTGCTCCCTGTCGGGAACATCCGCCAGTCTGAGGATAAATGGTATTTAGGTTTGTTTTCACCGAGTTCTAAAATCAAAACTACTTTCTACTGGTAGTAAAATATGTATTTTATTGATGGCCAATAGGATTTTGCATGACATAGCGTATAACATAACAATTTTCTCGTGGCAGCGAGGTGGGTGTCAATATAATACTACTTACAATATTATTGTTACTTCGACCACAACCTCACTTCGAGGAGGAAGAAATCGTGATGTTACAAGTTGTGTCATAGAAAATCTTTATGGTCATCAATCATATGCATATTTTACTACAACTAGTAAGTAGTTTTGATTCTTTAACTTCCGTGAAGCGATCTGAACACAAGTAAGATACCGTTTCAGGCTTCCACAACGCCGCTTCGTACTCACAAACATAACCCATTTAGCACGAACTGCGAGGTCCTGTGGAAATCTGTGCATGGGGACACCATCGCCCCACCCTAGGAGCAATTGGCGACAAAGCAGCGATTCGGCATGTAAAGTCGTTGATGTCGAGAAATCATCAAAATGATGAGCGTGCTACACATTTTCTATACAACTAATTGAAAATCGTTCCTCATATGACGTCACTGCAGTGCTCTGCGACAGAGTTACGTAACCTGTCTGTGGTTTCGTTGGCGGGCGAGAGGGAAGCAGGCGACTTTTTGGCCACTTTTAATCGCTCGGTATTAATTAACCACAAGTTTTTAAAGAATAAATTTGGTGTTCCGCATAAGACTAACCACAAATCTTTCATATGTAATGGTTAAAAGAGTAACAAAAAACAAAGTTTATTGGTTCTTTAAGCTCAGTCATATGTTCAGTTCATGACATGTATTAGTTAACAAATTCTCAGTAATTGGTTACTATTATACAGCTTAAGTTATAGTTATATCTTAAGCACAGTTATATTATAGCTTATATATATGCATATTGTAAGCTTAATACTTTGGTTCATTATAAAAGTATTCACTATAAACTATCAAGAGTTTATACTATCACATTAATGGCTTCAGCTTACTTAATGTTATATATACTTTTATTATATTCAGTAAATTGTACTAACCCTTATATGGCAGCTGATAAGTTAACAGCAGGAATTCTTCAGTTCAGTGCCTTTATGAAGTTCCCATAGGGTTATTGCAATCATCTCAGTTCAAATCACTAATTAGTAAAATCCAAAGTATATATAATCCCACCTCCTTATCCGTAGGATTCTACAAGCAATAAGCATGAGTCAGGATAAGGAAAAATGTGAAATTTTTAGAGTAAAATTAATATTTTATACTTATCCTGACTCATGAGGTAAGCCCTCCCATCCTCCCCACATAACACTTTGGATTTCCCTGGAAATTCAGGTGTTGGGCTCAGTATATGAGGAGAGAGTGAGGCACATGGGTTCGGGTGGCGCCCTCGTTCCCGAGCTTGTGGAAGGGAGATAACTCGTGGTCAGTACTAATGAGTGATTTTTTATTGAAGGGAACTTCAATTGGGAGATACAAGTGTTCCACTAGGTTCGCCAGAAGAAGAAGACAAGCAATAAGCATGAGTCAGGATAAGTATAAAATATTAATTTTACTCTAAAAATTTCATTTTCAGGACCCATAAATATAGCTGGAATACTGCAGAGTGTGTAGTGCAACGCATAGAAATAAACACAGACACACAGACACAAAGACACTCACATACTCTCACTCTCATGAATAATATATATTGCCACTTTCACTTGGTTATATATTTTTCCAAAGTTATATCACACAATGTTTTCCTCAAATTTCAACTTCTGAATGAATGTATTTTTAATCTGAAATATAATTTATTTTTCCTTATCCTGACTCATGCTAATTATGCTTGTCTCCTTCCTCTTGCGAATGATAGTGGAACACTTGAAAGCACTTGAAGTTCCCTTTAAAAAAGCGAACGTAAAATCACTCACCCAAGAGTAGCGTCCCTTTCCTCCCTTTGGCGCCCAAATGGTCACATGATCGGCCATATTTGTCACTCTCTCCTTCTCTTCGCCCTTGAGGACGGTAGTGAGAGCACCTGGGTCCCTATACAGCACATATCCTTTTATATTTTCGGACCTTACATCAAAATTATTGCTGTATACGGTTTTTAGGATTATATTCTACATTACGGTTTGAATTTTTTTCTAAAATTTCTGTTGTTTGACATGTGTTTTCTTCATGTTTACAATTGATGAAAACTTGTATTCATTGTAGGTACCGAGTGTCTGCGGCTGATCCCCATTATTATGTCCTAATTGCACTGTTTCATGTTCTTTCAGCTCTCGCTGTGAGTATTGTGTTAATTTGAATTTGGTTGAATTTACTAATTACCTTTTTTCCATCCATAGACGTGCCAAGGACAGGGTACGTAGGTATTCACAAGTCATGTCTAAATCGAGTGATTGTGCTAATAACCGTGTGTTAACCACTGCTGCAGATATTCATAATTCGAGTGAATTACTGAACGTTTCTCAGGAGCAGGTCGATGTACCAGTGGTGAACGCCGGAAGCCAAAAGAGCTCATCGTCTACTGAGCTGACCTCATCGCAGATAAAGAAGGCCAAATCTTCAGCTTCGCAGAAGATGAAGGCTACTACTATGAAGACTTCAGGGAAGTCTAAGATCAGCTCTACTCAGAAGACGAGGTCTTTCTCAGCCGAGATTGTTCCTCCGGAAGAAGCAGATGTTTATTATGATCTACCCATCCTCATACCTGAAGTCACCATCGTCAGTTAGAAGACAAAGCCTGCTTCTACATCTACATTGGCATTGTTATCCGCACAGACATTGACAGAAGACCTATGATCAACGCAGACATCGGGTACCAGAGATAGCAGCAGCGTCAACTCTTCACGAGGGCAGCGAGCCTTAGATGACGTCTCTTCAGTATCAGATGCATCATCCCTGGAGCAGTCTCTTCAGACAACGCGCAGAACTTCAACCCGGGACTGTTTATGCAACAGTTTACACAGACCAGATGATGTCGATGATGGAACGTTGCTTCGCTCAAGAGAAGGCTGCTATGAAGACCACTACGTCTACTAGCCAGCGTAAAGGCTCTACAGTCTCCCCACAGAGGGGAAACTATGTCCAGGAATCCACCTTCGCGAAGATCTAGAGAAATATCTCAAATCTCCAGGAAAGATTCAAAATCACATCGGGATCGTTCGCCTGTGCGAAGCTCATCTTATGGATCATCCTATAGAGACTCAAGTCGTCGTGCATCCATGGAGCGAGAAATGTCTAAATCAGAGGATGAAGGTGAAGGCGTCTTCCCGATACGGAAATTAACTCCTGAATCGCCAATGGCTTAGACTTATCATCACCTTCTAAGGACACAGATGAGGCGTTTACCTACAAGATGTCCAAAGATGATTTCGACACACTCACCTTTCCACTGACCAACCCGATCTCTCAAGTACCATACAACCTCAAGGCAGCTTTTGATAAAGCCACCAAGTCGCAGAGTCAGCACATCCCGACATTCAACGCCAGGAAATTCCCTCTACATAGGATGGAACCCTTCCTGAAGGCTCCAGAGGTTGATGATGACTATAAGATTATCACTGATTCCCGTCAAAGGACTTACAAGATTGAGGATAAGAAGTTAGCACAGCTGGATACAACCACCAGACGTACTTTCTTTGGATTAGCCAGATCGAGGGCTATCAACGAAACTCGCAACTTGAAGTTCAAGAATTCCTCGACGAAGAAGACCGAATGATACACTCCGCTCTACTTATGCAGAAGAGAGACCATCAATTTATGTCAGAGCACCTAGCATCCTCCTCAGTTGGTTTAACTCTCCTGAGAAGACAAGGATTATTGTCAGCATGCACTTGGAGTGAACGCTTCACCAAGTCTCTATACAGAGCCCCATGGTCATCATCTTACATCTTCGGAGGAGGAATTGCAGGAGTCCAGTGAGCCAGAGAAAAGAAGTATTCCAGTATGAAAGGAGGAAGAGGATCCTTTCGTCGACCAACCGGAGCTCCTAGAGGTAAGCCCGGAAGAGGCCGAGCACCCAGGGGTGCAAGAGGAAGCAAGCATTGAAGGCAAGGTTCAGAACGACTGGAGTCTTCCACCCCCAGCCGTTCCCGTACAACCTTCATACAGTTGGAAGCCACTCCGCCACTCCGCCGCTCACAAGCAACCTGATGGCCTTCAACTACGCAGCCGACCAGATAGAGAAACTGGACGATGCTATCAAGACCCTACTCAACAAAGAGGCAGTAGAAGAGATAGATCAAGATCTCATCACGCCTGGGTTCTACTCCCCAATTTTCCTGGTACCGAAGAAGAATTCCAAGGAGAAATTTCGGCTCATCTACAACATGAGGAAGTTCAACCGGGAGTATCTACGCAGACCAGCAAAATTCAAGATGATACATCTTCCTCAGCTCCGACATCTCGTTTGTCCAGCAGAGTACCTCGCCAGCATAGATCTGCAAGATGCGTCATCCCGATACATCCAGACTCAAGGAAATACCTATGTTTCCTTTTCAACGGACAGCACTTCCAGTGGAAGGTTCTACCGTTTGGAATATTGTCGGCCCCCTGGTTGTTTACTCGAGTGACCAAGCCGATCGTCACATATCTACATTGTCGAGGTCTACGCAGTGCTTTCTACCTGGACAACGGGATTCAAGCTCATCAAGATCCGAGTCAACTCAGACTGCAACTAGACTTCACCATCAGGCTGCTCACTCAACTAGGATGGCTCGTGAATCTCCTCAAGTCGGAACTGGAGCCGAAACAAGATCTGCAGTTCCTAGGGATTCGACTCATCACGCCAGTGAATCGTATAGTCGTTCCAGAGGATCGTTGGGTCAAAATACAACAGATGATATCTCAAGCATTGCTCTCTCCGTTGACACTACGTGCTTGGCAAAGCATGCTCGGTCTACTCACCTCAGCTCAAGACATGACTCGCAGAGGAAGATTACAGTTGCGCCCACTACAAGTATTTGTGAACGCCCACTTAGACAGCCTAGATCCGTTAATACTTCCGGACAGCCATATCTCCTATGGTGGACTCGGGAAGTCGAACGTTTGCAGAGGGACCTTTTTGTCAGAGCTGGTTTGCAACACTCATCTCTACGTGGATGCCTCCCAACAAGGATGGGGTGCGCACTTCAACAACGAATTGGCAGCAGGGAAGTGGTTGAATCAGGATCAGAAATCACACATCAATCTATTGGAGATGAAAGCAGTAATCAACGCTTTACAACATTGGTCCAGCGTACTAAAGAACGCACGACTCATGGTACACACGGACAACTCCACAGTGGCGTTTTACATCAACAAACAAGGGTCAACAAGATCAACAGGTCTGCTACAACTCAGCTTTCTCCTGTTCAGCATAGTCGACGACCTGAACATCTACATGAAGGCATGCCACATTCCGGGAGCAAAGAATGTCACAGCAGATGCCCTATCTCGTCCACTACAACAATCCCCAACGGAATGGATGTTGCATCCAGAAGCATTCCAGTTCATCAGACAGACTTTAGGATCCCCACTAATAGACCTGTTTGCAACAAAGTTCAATAAACAGCTACCAACGTTCGTCTCCGATTCCAGATCCTCAGGCATGGGCAACAGATGCTCTAAGTTAGTCTAAGCATCTCATGGGAAGGACTAAACACTTACGCGTTTCCGCCTCCTGCACTACTACCACAAGTACTACAGAAAATCAGGCAGATGACTACGTTGCAACTGATTTTGGTCACGCCATACTGGCCAGCGAGGGTTTGGTTTCCCATCCTCATACAAGAACTTGGAAGTCCAACCCTGAAACTACCAGAGTGGTCGAACTTACTTGTGTCCTCACACCAAGCAAGCTCACGGGGAACCCGACACTGTTTCAGCTACACGCGTGGAGCATATTAAAGCTTGCCTGAAGACCAGAGGGTACTCCGCCAGAGCAGCGAAAGCAGTTACACTAGCTCTACGCAGATCAACGCGCAACTTGTGCATCGACAAGTGGCAGAGATTTGAACAATATGCAAAGAGGAAAGGCTTTACAGCGGTGAAAGCAACACATCCTCAAGTGGCGGAAACTTATGTCATCTACGACAGACGAGACTCTTAAAAGGTTCAACACTTTCAACGTACTTAGCGGCCCTCAGTACAGTTATCACCATGAAAACGGGTATCAAGCTGACCAAAGTACCAGAGATTCTGGCACTACTGCGCTCGTTCAAGTTGGAAGACCAACAAAAGAAATTTAAGGCACCTGCCTGGGATCTCAACGTAGTTTTACAACATCTCACCAGTGATGCTTACAAATACGAGCCTCTAGAACGGACATCCTTTGAACTACTAACTCAGAAAACGCTGTTCCTGATCGCCCCAGCAACAGCTGCAAGGATGTCTGAAATACATGCTCTGGACTTTGAACGAACACGATTTGAATCAAGACATCGTGACATCGTACATCTGGGACTGAGATGGGATTTTATCACCAAGAACCAACTAAGGGCCTATAAAGCAGTAGGACTTGAGCCTCCATGAGCCTTCAATCCACACGAAGTCAGAGCCCTGGCGTCAACACTTGCTCTGCATGGAAACTGCTCGATTACAACTGTAATGGAGGGCTGCTTTTGGAGATCAACCACTACCTCAGAGACATTGCCACTGAAGACATCTCAGGCATTCACCAGTTTGGGCCACTTGTTGTAGCACAACAACTAACGGTTCCACAAAGGCGCGCTGAGTAAATCTCACCCCTCTTATCACGTGACTTGTGAAAACCAACGCTCTGGAGAGCAATGGCTATAAGTCCATGCACACGTCTAGGACAGACTAGCATGAGTGATAGACCCTGTACTTGTATAGGACATACTCGTACATGAAGAAGGGTTGCATCTCCACTTGATGTGTGCATCAAGAGATGGAGTTGTATTAGATAACTAATGGAATATCATTATATCTAAAATCCACACGAAAATGTCAGGAGAAGTTTCGGAGAAATCTGACAAGTTGTGGTCCCCCCCAGACTCATCAGAGAAGTTGAAAGAATCTTCAACAGTGCCGTCATAAGTTCCCAAGGAGGGTAATACAGGACGTAAATCTACAACCATTGAATCCAGAACGTGGCTTGACCCACCACCGTTTCCGACGGATTCTGCAAGCATAATTAGCATGAGTCAGCATAAGGAAAAATATGTAATTTTCTGACTAAAATTGATATTTTATACTTATCCTGACTCATGAGGTTAGCCCTCCCAACCTCCCCTCTTATGGCACTCTGGATTTCCCTGTAAATCCGGGTGTCTGGCTTACATACTGGAAAGTGACAAATATGGCCGATCATGTGACCATTTGGGCGCCAAAGGGAGGAAAGGGACGCTACTCTTGGGTTAGTGATTTTACGTCTGCTTTTTTAAAGGGAACTTCAAGGGATTTCAAGTGTTCCACTATTATTCGCAAGAGGAAGGAGACAAGCATTATTAGTCAGGATAAGTATAAAATATCAATTTAGTCAGAAAATTACATTTAATTTTGCAAGTCACTGGGCTTTGTTGAAGTCCTCTTAGTGCCTATGTAAAGTTAAAATGTTAAACAGTTTCATGAGTTGTGATTTATGTAAAATTAAAGACTATCAACTAAAGCAGTACTCTTTTGGAATACAAATTGTATCAGCCCTATAGCACTGTCTTGCAACAAACCGTTATGCCTCTGATGCAATTTTCAAAAGAAAAAACACTGAGTAGTATCTCAGTTTTAGTAAAGATTTTCATACAGCACACCTTTGTCCCTTAACCTAGACGAGATCGAATACAACTATGAACCTGCTGCCGTTCCATGCAAGATCTCACCAGAATTTCCTGCAATCAATGGACGAAGACTGCGAATCAAGTCCCCCAGGGTCCGAACACAGTTCAGCCGAGCATCCTCGTACCATGCCGATGTGAACACCGAGAACATTCCCGGCAGCGACCAATCAAAGGCCACACGATCAGGATCAACACATCTGCCTCATCTAGACCTGCTGCTGAAGAAGAGGGGCATCTCACGCAGTAACTTCTACAATTAACTTTGCTGCACTTGAGGGAAAAGGGGTGAGGTTATGTGGGCGGGGCTAAGATATATGTTGGGGATTAGGGTTACATGTTTGGGATTAGGATAAACATACAAAGAGGTTAAGTTACATGGGTGGGGATTAGGATCATGTTGGTAGAGATTAGGATTATGTGGGTGGGGACTGGATTATGTGGGTGGAGATTCGGATTATGCAGGTGGTTATTTGGATTATATGGGTTGGGATTTGGATTATGTGATTGGGGATTAGACAGAATGGGGCTAAATTGGGTTGTCATAAGATTTATTAAATTTGTTTTCAAAGAGCTTACTAGCTGATACAGACTGAATTGGGGAATATCAAAGGTAATCTTGCAGAAATCAAGTGAATAAGTAGATTATTTACGTTGGATTTATTGTAAATACATTTACATTAATTGTTATAACTGAGAAGTATGGGTCAATGAAATGATGTCACATGCTAATATGTGTATTTATATACAAGATATTATTAAGGCAATATTTGTTTATAATACATGTACTCCGATGAATTTTTGTTATACACTTGGAACTATTTTGAATTATTGAACTAAGTAAGATTTTCCTTGAAAATGGGTCATTTGTATGATACATATGTTTTTGTCAATTTACATGTATAGCGGTAGTGGGTTCAGTGAATTGATATTAAGCTATTTAAATTGGCTTTACATAAAGTAATGTATTCTGATTATATAAGCATGAAAGGAATCTCTGATTTGATTTTGAACAAATCAAGGCAGCACAACACTGGGGAGAGAAGGAATTTGGCAACAACAGGGTAACTTGGTTTCAGTGGATAATGAGAGTGAACTCGGTCTTGTAATGAATTTTCCTCCTATCACTACTACAAGCCTGTTTTTCTGCAGCAAATGACAAATTGGATCCTGTGGTCATCCCTCGTGATGCAGATATATTCATTATGATATACTTCTACTGAGAAATCATTAACTTATTCATCTGGTTGTTTGTGGCGCCAAGACATAGGCCTTTTGTAATATCTGGGGACACAGGTGACCCAGTCATCTAAGGCTGATTCTGGTCATGTCAGTAAATATGTCCTTCATAATATCTGGGGACACAGGTGGCCCAATGGTTCAAGGCTGCTGCTTTTGTCACCAATACATATGTCCTTAATAATATATGGGCACAGGTGCACCATGGCCAAATGATTCGTGATTGCAGATAGTGTCACCAATACATATGTCCTTCATAATATCTGGGGATATAGTTGGTCCAATGGTCCAAGGTTGCAGGTAGTGTCACCAATACATATCTCATTTGTAATATCTGGGGACACAGGTGGCCCAATGGTCCGAGGTTGCAGATAGTGTCACCAATACATATGACCTTCATAATATCTGGGGACACAGGTGGCCCAATGGTCCGAGGTTGCAGATGGTCTCACCAATACATATGTCCTTCATACTATCTGGGGACACAGGTGGTCCAATGGTCCAAGGTTGCATATAGTGTCAGCAATACATATGTCCTTTCATAATATCTGGGGACACAGGTGGTCCAAGGTTGCAGATAGTGTCACCAATACATATGTCCTTCATAATATCTGGGGACACAGGTGTTCCAATGGACCAAGGTTGCATATAGTGTCAGCAATACATATGTCCTTCATAATATCTGGGGACACAGGTGGCCCAATGGTCCAAGGTTGCATATAGTGTCACCAATACATATGTCCTTCATAATATCTGGGGACACAGGTGGTCCAATGGTCCGAGGTTGCAGATAGTGTCACCAATACATATGTCCTTCATCATATCTGGGGACACAGGTGGCCCAATGGTCCAAGGTTGCAGATAGTGTCACCAATACATATGTCCTTCATAATATCTGGGGACACAGGTGGTCCAATGGTCCAAGGTTGCATATAGTGTCACCAATACATATGTCCTTCATAATATCTGGGGACACAGGTGGTCCAAGGTTGCAGATAGTGTCACCAATACATATGTCCTTCATAATATCTGGGGACACAGGTGTTCCAATGGACCAAGGTTGCATATAGTGTCAGCAATACATATGTCCTTCATAATATCTGGGGACACAGGTGGCCCAATGGTCCAAGGTTGCATATAGTGTCACCAATACATATGTCCTTCATAATATCTGGGGACACAGGTGGTCCAATGGTCCGAGGTTGCAGATAGTGTCACCAATACATATGTCCTTCATCATATCTGGGGACACAGGTGGCCCAATGGTCCAAGGTTGCAGATAGTGTCACCAATACATATGTCCTTCATAATATCTGGGGACACAGGTGGTCCAATGGTCCAAGGTTGCATATAGTGTCACCAATACATATGTCCTTCATAATATCTGGGGACACAAGTGGTCCAATGGTCCACGGTTGCAGATAGCGTCACCAATACATATGTCCTTCATCATATCTGGGGACACAGGTGGTCCAATGGTCCACGGTTGCAGATAGCGTCACCAATACATATGTCCTTCATAATATCTGGGGACACAGGTGGCATAATGGTCCAAGGTTGCAGATAGTGTCACCAATACATATGTCCTTCATAATATCTGGGGACACAGGTGGTCCAATGGTCCAAGGTTGCATATAGCATCACCAATAAGTATGTCCTTCGTAACATCTATGGACACAGGTAGCCCAGTCCTCTAAGGCTGCTCCTGGTCACATCATATATCTTTCATAATGTCTGGGGATACAGGAGGCGCAATGGCCTAAGGTTGGAGTTAATGTATCCTTCGTAATAAGGCTCCTACCAGTGCATTTTTCCTGTTAATGGAAGCAGCTCACCCAGTTGGTGTCACATGTCTGTGGTTTGATGTTAAGAGATGGTACTTGTTGAGAGCCTGTACATCCATGCAACACTATGACAGGGTGTCTCAAACCAGCATTTCTCCAAAGTAGTTGGAGCACATGCATATATGTGGCTAAAGGAGTGCGATAATCTTGAATGCAATGCAACCCATTTCATCTCAGCTCTCCCCTGAACAGTCTTGACATAATAAGTCCCTGGTCTTCAGCCCTCTTAAATGGGGATTGGGTGGAAGCAATGTGCTACCTGGCTGAATGCGTGTCATTATACACTGATGATGTGGATCATGTCGTTAACCACTGGTTTACCTGGACCAGTTTGATTACTCAGAGGCTGCGTAATATTTGTCCACAATATTGTACGACTCAAAATTTGAGACTGAAAGTAACTTCAGGGCCTATGCAACTAGTGTAGTTCATACTTTTGAGTACATCATCTGTTCGTCCATCTAAAGATTGGCTTTGAATTATTATTTTGTTTGTAAATTATTTTTTAACTTCTATTCCTGTTTTTGAGACATATGTTATTATGGCTCCTCTTTTGGTCAACTCTGCAGTTTTTTTAAATTATGCTGCCGAGAGCATAAACAGCATGTTGTATAGTGGATTATGAAGAATGTAATGATACAGAAAGTTGAAAAATGAAAAAGCATGTTCTAATCAAGTGTTGAGGCTGACATTATGAAAGAGCATGATAGAATAGATTGTCAGGGCCACCATTATCATAGAGCATGGTATATTGGACCAGAATGCTATGATTATCTCTTATCAGGCTACCATTGTGAAAAAGCATGTTGGAATTCATTCAGGCCTGTGTTCATGAAATCATGTACAACAATGCATCATTAGAGGTGCCATTGATAGAGGGCATGTTGTATTGTACCAGAAAGTTATCATTATTAATTATCAGGCTGCCATCAGGAAAAAGCATGGTGGAATAGATTATCAGGGCTGTCTTCGTGAAATCAAATGCAATGATGGATTATCCGGGCTGTCATGAAAGACTTATATCACATCCAAATGTCATCATGAAAGAACATTTTGTAATGGATTATCAGGGCTACCATAATGAAAGAGCATGTTAAATTGTACCAGAAAGTTTATCATTCTTAATTATCAGGGCTATCATCACAAAATAGCAAGTCATGACAGATAAACACATCTATCATCATGAAAACTGATGCCATGGAGGACAAACAGGGATATCATCCTTAAAGTGCATGTAATATAGGATAAACAGCTATTATCATGAAAGTGCATGCCATAAAACGTAAACAGGGCTTATCATCATGAAAGAGTATATCATAGAGGATAAACAGGGCTATCATCATGAAAGAGTATATCATAGAGGATAAACAAGGCTGTCATCATGAAAGAGCATATCATAGAGGATAAACAGGGCTATCATCATGAAAGAGCATGTCAAAAAGGTAAACAGGGCTATCATCATGAAAGAGCATGTCAAAAAGGTAAACAGGGCTATCATCATGAAAGAGCATGTCAAAACGGTAAACAGGGCTATCATCATGAAAGAGCATGTCAAAACGGTAAACAGGGCTATCATCATGAAAGAGCATGTCAAAATGGTAAACAGGGCTATCATCATGAAAGAGCATGTCAAAAAGGTAAACAGGGCTATCATCATGAAAGAGCATGTCAAAATGGTAAACAGGGCTATCATCATGAAAGAGCATGTCAAAACGGTAAACAGGGCTATCATCATGAAAGAGCATGTCAAAATGGTAAACAGGGCTATCATCATGAAAGAGCATGTCAAATCGATCACAGTGCTGTTGCAATGAAAGAGCATGTCATAAAAGATCATAGGGCTGTCATCATGAAACAGCATGTCAAAAAGGTATAAACAGTGCTTCATGAAAGAGCATGTCATAGAGGATAACCAGTGCTATAATCATGAAAGAGCATGTCATAAAAGATCATAGGGCTGTCATCATGAAAGAGCATGGAGCATAAAGAGGGCTATCGTCTTGAAAGAACATGTCATAGAGGATAAACAGTGCTATAATCATGAAAGAGCATGTCATAAAAGATCATAGGGCTGTCATCATGAAAGAGCATGGAGGATAAACAGGGCTGTCATCTTGAAAGAGCTTGTCATAGAGGATAAACAGGGCTGTCATCATGAAAGAACTTGTCATAGAGGATAA